TACTCGGGCCGACAATCAACGTTGACACGGCCCACCGAAAAAAGAGTGGAAAATTCAGATATCGCGTAGCTAAACTCATTAATAACGTTCTAATCACGCTGCTGCTGCGTAAATAAATGAGTTTAGCTACGCGATATCTGAATTTTCCACTCTTTTTTCGGTGGGCCGTGTCAACGTTGATTGTCGGCCCGAGTACGGGCTTCTTACAACACCGGGGCAGCACCAAAATGGTGACCTCACTATTAAACACGTCGTCTATATTTTATCATGCAATTTTTATATAGGACATTTTTAGGAACCGTTCAGATATCAACAAAGAAAAATTGGATAAAAAATTTTAACTCAAATTTAAAGGAAGACGCGAAAATCCAAAATATCGATGCTGTAATTAGCAAACCAATGAGTCGATAAACACGCAGTTAGATATTTGAGCAAAAAGGTTAGTATTGAGGTCAGTATTTGAAGGCAAAACGACATGCCTGAACATAAATCGATTTTAATACTTATACCAACACAATTTATGCATTGCACTTGAATGAATTTCTAGCTGAAAGATGCAAAGAAATAGACGATTTTTGTATGCACACCAAAAAGGTTTCTCGTGTAATGTTGCAAGAGCGCATTAGAAGCACCAGCTCATAAATAATTCATGCTAGTTGGAAAAAGTTCAGTTATAGCAAAGAGCGTATGTTAAAAACGGATTGAGCGTAAAAATAACAGACAAATAATTTGTGACAAAGAAAAGAATTTGTTATTTATAACTTCCAAAGTTTCTGAATGTCAGCAACTTCTACCGATTTGTTACTTGTGATTGCGCGCGCAGTTTGAGCTCTCTTTCATTAGCCTTTCAGCGTTGCGTTTAGATGGCCACCGGTCCTGTTGAGGAGCGCAATCAGGATGCCACAATTTATGTGGGTGGTTTGGACGAGAAAACAACAGAAGCCATCCTGTGGGAGCTTTTTCTTCAGGCTGGACCAGTAGTTAATGTGCACATGCCGAAGGATCGCATCACATCACAGCACCAAGGGTAAGTCCTTTGGCTAATCTTAAAAGGCTCACTAGTGAGAATGTGAAAACTGCCATCTTACTGCTTTGGGAGATGTATTTGGTGTTTTTAGGAAGGTGAAACTTTCATCCGCTGGTGCAACCTAATAGGACGGAAAACACCGTAGTAGTTGAATCCATGTACATGACTTGTTGATGCGTCATAATGCTCTACAATTGTCCTTCTCTCAGCATTTTTCCATTGATATCCTTGTGAAACTTAGCTAACTGCATGTCATGTGCTTGGTTTCACATTCTGCAACACGAAAGTAAATTATCACTGTGTAGAATTAAGTGAGATGTTATCTACGATCGTCTCTAAATCCATTTTACTCCGCTTTTGCTTAAATTCGCAATACGTTCTCTCAGTTATGACATGGTATACGATCAGGAAATTGATACAACATATTTAGTATATTGTCAATTATGCATGCAAACTAGTCGGCACATTGGAATTTAAATTAAACTAAAATATGGTGGTTTGCACAAAAATACTGCCGTCCAATGAACTAGTTATTCGAAGATGTATACAAAATGTAGCACGTGAGAGCAGATCAGGCGATGTACATGTAGGCGTCCTTCTAACTATTCATTGATAAATTTTGCTGTCCATTGTTTGCTTATGTCCCCAACCTCATCAACGCCTACATGTTAATATTTGTAGTAATGTCTAAATGTTAAAATACTTGTACTCAAAGAAAGTATGCATTAATAGTACCTAAAACGAAAATATTTATGAGTTATTAGAGACACCGCCTGTCGGGTGTTCGCTCGGCTATACTGTGGGCTATTAGTGTCTGTCGCGTACAGGCTGTATTTATGTGCATCCATTAACTGTCGTATTTGTGTAACAGCTGCTCAGTCCGTGGACAAAGTATTCTGGAAATATTTCACGTAGTCATTGTTAAGAATGTTGCGTTGTTACTTATCAGGTCAAAAGTGGCTTTTAGGTTTTACGATCTAAATGATTGACACTAATATAATTTTGCAGTTCAAAAAGTTAGCTTCGCAAAATTTGTTCAAGTTCCTTGGATCCAGAGTCGCTAGGTGCTCAGAATTGTATTTGCATTCTTTGCACCCATTTTAGTTACGGTTTCGTGGAGTTTCTTTCGGAAGAGGACGCAGATTATGCGATGCGGATAATGAACATGATCAAGTTGTACAATAAGCCTATTCGCGTGAACAAGGCAAGTGCCCACCAAAAGAATCTCGATATCGGCGCAAACATCTTCATTGGCAACCTGGACCCGGAGGTGGATGAAAAGTTGCTGTACGACACCTTCAGTGCTTTCGGCGTGATCCTTCAAACACCAAAGATCATGCGTGACCCGGAGACGGGAAACTCAAAGGGCTACGCCTTCATCAACTACGCCAGTTTTGAGGCAAGCGATGCGGCGATTGAGGCGATGAATGGGCAGTACCTGTGCAACCGGGCCATAACGATATCCTATGCGTTTAAGAAAGACAGCAAAGGTGAACGGCACGGGTCGGCAGCGGAGCGTCTTCTTGCTGCTCAGAGTCCGCTTTCCCAGGTGACGTTGTGCACATTTTTGTTTAGTGGAACCTTTTTTTTATTTGTCGACATGTGCAGGTTCTGTTGTGTTTCTCAAAACTGGAGCGGGCTTGTTCGGTGGTGTGGAAGGCGACTGGTTGAAAACCTAGTCTTGTTAGGTGACGGTACTTGGGAACGAAGTAATTCTAAATTTGCCAAAGAAGTGCTGCCCGAGAAATAATGTCCGTGTTTGAAGAGTAGAGGTTAGACAGGTGTTAGTGCTTGGGATTGATCTACGCACTCGTGAAAAAGTCTGCTACCACTTTCCCGTGAAATTAAGAGAGGTTTGATTCTTGCTTATGTGGTCTCTTGCAGAGGACTGATTTTGGTGTGTTTTGGGTACGGCTTTCCGGAACGTGCTCTCACGATGCAGCGGTGCACACTGAATGCCGCAGTCTTACATACTTGTCGCTGATCTACTGATCACAGTCTCCAAGACCAGTAGCATCACAATTATTACTAGTATAAAGATTTTGGGCATCGTGAGATCGCACACAGGATTTGCTAGCTTGTATAATGAGATAAAGCATTGACTGTTTGTATATGTAGGACTTAAGTATGTTAGGAATTAACTGTGGTTGATTTGTGTTTAGGCCGACCGACCACACCAGCTGTTTGCGGACGCTCCACTTCCTCCTCCGCCCCCACCGCCTCCATCGCTTCTTGCAGCAGCGACGGCGGGCATTTCAGGTGCCGTGCACCATCCAGCAGCCTTCTCGACACTGGGTGCAGCAGGCCCTGGTGGCATGTTAATGCCACCGCCACCACCCCCTCCTCCAACGATAGCGTTGGCACCTCCACCGCCGCCCCCAATGCTGGGCGCAGCGGGCGGAGCTGGCAGCGGTCTGATGCCACCGCCTCCGCCGCCAGCTCTGTTTGGCGGGGACTCGGGCTTCCACCCTCCGCCGCCTCCGCCTCCTCCTCAGTTATCCGGTGGTGTACAGGCGTGGGGAGTGCCAGGGGCTGGTATCCCTCCTCCCCCACCTCCTCCACCAATTATGTAAAGCGTTTTTGTGGAAGATTGAAGAAGAATTGTTCCATTGCAGCAGCCATGTTGTGTTATAGGGTCGTGTGACGAGTGTGGGGATCAGCAAGTGCGTAGCAGCGATAACCTTGGTGGGGGGTGGGGGTAGACCCTGAGATTGGTCGTGTCTGTGGAATTAGGAAGCAGTTGGTCAATGAATGGTGTGACGATTGTCTGGGATTGTGGTAATGCTGATGCGGTGGGAACTGGTGATGGATAATTTTGGCCCATTACTATTTGGAGCCCTGGAGGTAGTGGTGCGCAGTGTCATCATTATTTGGATACGAGCTGGTGTAGTCTGGAAAGTTGTGCATTGATTTCCATGAGAAATTGGGAAATTGAGCTTGTTAGAATATTGTTGCTGGATGGTTTAGCATTACGGAAGGTATGTTCTTGATATTGCCGTTGAATGGCCAGCTGTTTTTGCTGTACATTTGAGAGGTATGTTGTGATTAGCACTAAATGCTGTCTTTGGTATGAGCAACTGATTTTATTCGTCGCTGGATTCTGTGGATACAGAGTAGTGCATTTTGGCATGCCATTTACCCGAGCGTTTCTGAATTAAATGCTACCTGTTGTTGACTTCATTTGTTTTGCTGTCTTATAGTAAAGATTAGAATTTGTTACTAAGCAGAATAAAACCCGAAAAAGAGCGAGATCCTGACAATGAATCCTTACCTCGTTTACTAGTGACAATGCGAATATGCAACTCCATAATTTGCTTTAGTCTTTTTATTTGCGTGTGAAAAGATATATAGTTCATAAATTTTTTTGCTTAGGAAGCTGACAATTACATTTTTACTTATGGCAAACGAGAATGTATATGGAGAATTTTAAATTAACATTTCTACCAATTTGCAAAAAATGGTTAATCATCCCTTTCAGTTGTGTTTTTGATAAGACCAAACTTAGCACAGCTGAACCTTATTTTTTTAAAACTTAATAATTTAAAGAGTGGTTTTTAGACTTACGATATCAAACATCATCTCCTCGTCATTCCAAATTTCGTTAACAATTTTAGGGGAGGTGCTCCATTTACTTCACTTGCCTTGCTAATAACCAAAATCTGAGAAATAAATAAAATTTTTATATTACTTTGCTTTATTAACACATGCAACATGTCAACTCTTGGCTGAATCTTCAGATTCTTAACAAAGCCTTTTCCAATACACGACAAGTTGATAGGCTTTATTTTGACGTGTCCCTTTTTCTCCAGCCAATCAAAACGCGTTATCTGTCATTCGGCGGTGTGCACGTTGACTTCACGGTGTCCTCAACGTCTTCCGCTATGCAGTATAAGTTCTTATTAAACAACAACAGCAGCAGGGGTCTTCTTACTATATTCATTCTTGTATTAGCATGGATTGTTGGATTCTGCTCTCGCTTATTCTCAGTTATTCGTTTTGAGAGCATTATCCATGAATTCGACCCCTGGTTTAACTATCGAGCTACTAAGCAGATGGTCGATAACAGTTTCTATGATTTTCTCAACTGGTTTGATGTCACAGCCTGGTATCCTCTTGGTCGAATTGTCGGTGGGACAGTGTACCCTGGACTGATGGTCACGTCAGGTAATCAACTCTGTTGTTTCGTGACATGTTTTGAATTGCGTCATAATGGTATTATTGTCGATTTATTCCCTTCTCTGAATTTTGATGTGCTTAAACCATATTTGGTCGTTATCTTAGTGCATCATCGCTTTGTGTTGTGCCATTGGCGAGTAGACTGTAAGTAGATTTAAATCTACTTTAAGCAACACTTCTTCGTCTAGTTTTGTATTCGCGGCTTATTAACCTCCTTGGATGCATCCCAAAATTATGTTAATTCTATTAGCGTTGTACATTACACCTCGAACTCCCCAACTATTTGTTTGTTGCTCATAATTGACCGAATAAGCGCACTATTTTATCCTTCAGGTTCAATCCATTACATTCTACGGCTTCTCAACATTCCGGTCCATATCCGAGAAGTCTGCGTTTTTCTTGCGCCCATTTTTAGTGGCCTAACTGCCATTATGGGTTACCTCTTAACTAAGGAGGTCTGGAACGACCGTGCTGGCCTCTTCGCTGCGTGTTTCTTGGCAATTGGTAGTTTGTAATTCCATGCCGTATTTTTTCTGAACCTTTTTTGCCACAAACGTTAACTGCCATAACATTTAATTGATACCGTTTATAACCATCGAAATTGTCGCTAGTTTCTGCTTATTCAATAACATCTCGAATTTTCTCTTTAAAGTTTTTTTGTGCCCTTAATTCGGCTCTACCTTCATGTTGCATCCATTCTAAAGCATTTCTTTGAAACTAAATACCTATGTGTCAAATCTGTAGAGTATGACCGTTCTACAGGTTACTTTGATTCTATTGAGATATTGGTTATTTACTAACAGATATGTCTTCTACAAACTGGTTCAAAACCATGGCAATTGTGAGACTTTAATCTTCATCTCACGTCGCTTAAATGCATTTAAACTTACTCAAATAATACTTTTCATGTTTTGAGTTTATCAGTTTCGGTTGGCAAGTAAAAGACTTGTGTAGCATTACCTGTCTGGTTATTTATTCTCGACTAATCAATGATCAAACACTCAGTAGGCCCTCGACTTGTTTCAGTAAACCCATTGTCACGTTTTCTTTCACCTAAGTTCCTGGTTATATCAGCCGTTCGGTGGCAGGAAGCTATGACAACGAAGGAATCGCCATATTTGCGTTACTGCTCACGTACTTTCTTTGGCTGCGCGCTGTTCGAACCGGCCATCTCTGCTGGTCGGTGCTCTGTGCCCTGGCTTACCTATACATGGTCTCCGCCTGGGGTGGTTACGTATTCATAATCAACCTTGTGCCTCTGCATGTCTTTGTCCTGTGTCTCACCGGCCGCTACTCCACGCGCCTCTACGTCGCCTACACGAGCTTCTACATCCTCGGTCTTATACTGTCTATGCAGGTGCCTTTTGTCGGCTTCCAGCCGGTGCGCACAAGCGAGCACATGGCGGCAGCCGGCGTCTTCGTCCTACTCCAGGTGAGATTGCCTGTTTTAACTCCTTCAAAATCCCAGCCACCCGTTGGGACCTGCTTTATGGGTCTGCTTTTGTCTGACTTTATGTTAGGCCGTGGCCTTCTTCAAGTACCTCCAAACCTTGGCGCCTTCTGAGAAGCTGAAACCACTCTTCACCGTGGCAATTGTCAGTGTTGCTGGCCTCGTCTTCCTAGCTGTCTGCGGGCTAACCGTCGCCGGTGTTATTGCTCCCTGGAGCGGACGGTAAGAGCTTTGACATCTCGGCTGTGACATAAACTGCCTCGATTTCGGATGTTGTGAAGCCCTGTACTGACAATTTGATGTTGAAGTTCAAACATATGCAGACATGCCGGGGTTTTGGCGAAATTGCTGTATTAGCTAAATCTGGTCAACGGTGGTAATGATTAACGATTAATGAACTCCTGTTTTGAGGCTTTTCTGAATTTTTATTAAAATAGCTTATAAACAGTGGTTCAGACAGATCTCTATGCCCAGCTATTATTAAAGTGGAGTGTAGCTTTGACATGTCAAAATTTGCGATCCAGCCACTCGGGTAGCAATTCATCGACAGTACTGCATTCCACACGGTAATATGGTACGTGGATTGGGCCAGAAGGCAACCACATCAAAAAGATGGCCTTGATGGAAGACATTCGGCGATGCCACTCCATGTACATCGATGAAAATTATTCCTCAACCAGAGTGGATAACCCATGTTATGTCGTTTCCTTTTGCTAACTACGGCTCATCAAGTTATAAGTATTTGCGTTAGTCGATTGAGTAATCAGGAATGCTAAAAATGACAAAGCGGTTGCAACCTGACATGCGTACTCGTGCTTCAAGGTTTGTACGCGGTTATCACTCCGTGAAATTGTGCGATAAATTTGGGCTAAAAGCCCCCCTAGCTACAACAGGTAGACTCGTTGGTGCATCAGTGTGTTTAGCGTTTTCCTACTTCCCATACCTCTCACTTAGATTCTACTCGCTCTGGGACACGGGCTACGCTCGCGTCCACATTCCCATCATCAGTTCCGTGTCCGAGCACCAGCCGACCACGTGGACGTCGTTCTTCTTCGACCTCCACATTCTGGTGGCCGTTTTCCCCGCCGGTGTGTGGTTCTGCTTCGCCGAGTTGAACGACCTCCGGACCTTCGTCATCCTCTACGCCATCTTCGCCTCCTACTTCGCCGGTGTCATGGTGCGTCTCATTCTCACTCTCACCCCCATCGTCTGCGTCCTCGCTGCCATCGCCTTTTCTCGACTCTACGACGTCTATCTCAGGGAGGACGTCCTCAGTGACGAGGACGCAGAGGGGAAAGCTGAGGAGGGCAGCAAGGGAAAGAATAATTCCAAAAACGTGCCAGCGTCTCGCGAGAAACAGCTCTACGATAAGCCGTCGAAGGCTGACGAGAAGGTATGTAACTTTCCAGAGGTTTGCATGGCGACTACACTGTTCCCTTTGCAACCTCCTCGCCACGTTTTCTCCCCTTTTATGCATCTTTTGTTGATTTTTGCGCAGTATGCTAAGTCAAACGTTATAGCGCGCTTGTACGACGTTTAGCACTTTTGGTGACGTCCATTTCATCAGAGGTGGGTTTGATTACTGCGAAGTGACGGCAACGCCCCCTCCAATTTCCTCCGCTTTATTACCTTAGCTACATTATGCAAACTAAACTTGGCTGTAGCAAGGTTTGTAGAAGCCTTTATTGAAACCTATTCGTTTGGTAACAAGTCGTTCGCTTGCTGTTTTGATCATTATCCTTTGATCCTCCGTATCCAGAGCGACGCTCCCATTGGGTGGAGCGTTTACTTCTCTGTTGCGATGTTCCGAGGGAATCAAACAGTTGCTCGACATCTTCTATCGCACAAAATGCGCTTACACATTGTTCCCTCTAGTGACTGACTGTGCTCTTGAACTAGCGCCCGCCACCCTGATCGAGTGTCTACCTAGAACGAGTTGCGATTCGTATTTCGTTCAGTGCTAATGCCCACGCGCACAGTTATGGCAACAACGTTTCTCCCTTTAAAGCATGCTCGTGCTTCTAGTAGCAGAAGCACAGATACGTCCACGCCCTCCAACAATGACGATGTGCTCGGCATCAGTCTGCGCAAGATCGTCATCATGGTTGCTACCTTCGTCCTCTTCCTCTTTGTGTTCCACTGCACCTGGGTCACCTCCAACGCCTACTCAAGTCCGTCTGTCGTTCTTTCCTATCAGGGGGGCCAAGGGGAGCGTATCATCCTCGACGACTTCCGGTACGTCTTTTATGCCCATAGCAACGCTTTCCACATGTGCTCATTGGTTCATGAATGTTAATTTTGCACTCGTTGTCCGATATTTTGTATGATTTTATTCTTACAAGACGCTATAATCGATTCCATCTAAGCGAGAGCCCCATTCTGTCCAAAAGTAGCAACTCCGCTGACGGTCTTAAAAGTGGTAACGACTGTAGTGGTTTTAATACTTTCTTGTAACATCACTGACACGTCAGTTTTATAAATGCTTAAGCGAGGCCTACTATTGGCTGTGGCAGAACACGAAGCTGGACTCGAAGGTGATGTCCTGGTGGGACTACGGCTACCAGATAGCCGGAATGGCCAATCGAACAACCCTGGTTGATAACAACACGTGGAACAACAGTCACATTGCCCTCGTGGGCAAAGCCATGTCTTCCAACGAAACTGCTGCCTTCAGTGTGAGTGATTTACCAAGTGGCGCAACGGGCAGGTGTTTATTTTGCGAGCTGGATAACAGCCTTTTTTTCTTTCTCTTATAGCTAATGCACTCCCTGGATGTGGATTATGTGCTGATAATTTTCGGTGGCATGAGCGGCTATTCGGGCGACGACATTAATAAATTTCTTTGGATGGTTCGAATTGCCCAAGGGGAGCATCCCAGGGATATTCACGAGCAGGACTACTATACCCCTCAGGTTATTCCAGTTTCCACTTTCTTCTTCTTCGTTTCTTTACGCCTCGACGTCTCTTTGGGTCGAGTCTATTTGCACAGCGCTCGTAAATCCCGAGTGATCTGTTGACTGGTAGTTGTGCACCACCGCCTACACGCTTACTACCTGTTTAACACAGGCTGTTGCCTCGGTGTTTAATTCCGTCACTTTGCACATCATTTTTTATGGTTCCGTCAAACTACTTCGATCCAGATTCAAGTGGCATCTTCGCATTTTTATTGGTTATGGCGAAGTGAGCTAACTCACGTACCCGTTTCTGCCTGTAGGGTGAATACCGAGTGGACCATCAGGCGCCCAAGGCAATGGTCAACTCCCTCATGTACAAAATGAGCTACTACCGCTTCGCGGAAATGAAGATGGACCCGCGTATGCCGACTGGTTTCGACAGGGCGCGCAACACGGAGATCGGCGTGAAACACATCGACCTCACGCACTTGGAGGAGGCCTTCACCTCTGAGCACTGGATTGTTCGAATTTTCCGCGTCAAAAAGCCCTCCAATCGATTGAGACTGGCGAGCAAGAAGCGACGCGGCAGCAGCGGCAGCCCCAAGCGCATTTCACGAAAAACCGTCTCTGACAGGCGTGGTCTGGTAGGCTCCAGGGCGCGCATTGTGAAGGGCACCCGACCGGAAAGCGTTGCGCCATCGTAACTGAAGCTGTGATGATATGCCACCTCCACTGTCCACCTTCCGTCTTTTTTTCCCAAGTAAGCCCTTGATTGTCGATAAATGTTAGCGTGACTTGAAGTCTTCGTTGCAAGTTCTAGATTCCACTTCGAGTTGCTATTCTTTGTTCTAGGTGAGTATGCGTGTTGCCGCTTCTCCGGACACGTGCTTTCCCTTCTAAATGTTCTTTTTTCTCGCCAAGGAGAGACCAGCGCGGCAGGTAATTTTGGAGGGTCCTCCCACTTACTCTGTCCTTCCCCAACCACTCACACTCGGTTCTTTTTTGATTGTTTCTATCCCTTCCCCCCTCCTGTCCTTGTATTGAATAGGGGTTTTGTAACAGTGTGGTCCATTGTCTTACGTTAGGCGCAGTTTGCTGTTCAGCCGCCACGTTTGTAAAAATCGCCAATACATGATCTTGGATGTAGCTGCGGGTAAGTGTGAGAATTGACCCAGGATGCATTGACATATTGTCCAGAAAATATTAAGATTAGCCAAAAACTTTTCCCCCTGGAGAAGAACTGAAATCTAACCGACTGAACTGCTGTGAGCTGTTAAAGGGGCTTTCGGCTTACAAGGAGAGCGTCTACCATCTTATTTGCCTGAAGATCGAGTGTAGTCGGCAAAATGCGATTCGTTGGTAAAACTCCGGAATTGATTTGACTTAAATAATCGACCTTCGATGTGTACTAATGGTGAAAGAAATTCCTCACAAAGCGGTCGACCTGTCGACGAACATTTTTGCTACTGCTTTGGCAGATATGTCGTGCAGTGGGCAAGTGGCTTGCCACTGGGTGAAACGGTCGATTGAGATTACATTAACTGAGTTCTCGCGTCTTTGTATGAAGTAGACAGGTATAACAGAACAGTAATGGTGAAAGAAATTCCTCACAAAGCGGTCGACCTGTCGACGAACATTTTTGCTACTGCTTTGGCAGATATGCCGTGCAGTGGGCAAGTGGCTTGCCACTGGGTGAAACGGTCGATTGAGATTACATTAGCTGAGTTCTCGCGTCTTTGTATGAAGTAGACAGGTATAACAGAACAGCCTTTATAGACAGACCAGAAACGTCCGTTGTACATTGATTATTGCGTAATTCATCTGTACAAAGACGAAAGGTGCGCTGATGCTTTATTATTTGGAACTCTCATTGAGGAAATTCGTCAAAGAGAAATATATTGACTTCATTTGGCAAGAAAAGGACGCATAAATTAATCTCGGTGAAGTTAATGTGCAAGCAGGAATTCACGAGTCTGCCTTGGCGTCAGTAGACATCTGGGACAATGCAGACTCAAATCTAATCCATGGTCTCCCAAAATGCAATTTGTTAAGATAGCGGTTAAGTCCTACTAGCTTAGGTGCCGAAGAACGAGGTCAGGTTGGTCGTCGTATCCGTTTGATCTCTACCGGCTGTGGGGACGTAGTCAATGTTCAATATCCTGGATTTTAACCCAGGTAGCACCTGATAAATATAGTGTCATAGGATTTGAGTTAAATGCAGTTGTCTTACTTCAAACACTACAAAGTGCGTAAGAATAGCTCTAATTGCGATACCAGCAGTTCTGTGGGATTTCGGTTATAAGTCCCTACAAAATAGGAACAAGTAAATAGGGATATGTCAAAGAAGTTGGGCGGGATATCTTGTATAATCATTGTATGTATGCCGCTTACGGTTTTCTTGGGTGTTCTGATGATCGTTAATATACAGTATCTGTTGGATCAGCCAAATTTCCCATACTGCGTCCAGTGTCGTTAGATTGGTGACGATCTGGTGGAAGAAATTCAGTGTAATCTGGATCTGACGGGATAACCATTGGCCAACATTTTCTCCATTAATATGATTCGGAATTTGGCTAACCCGTGCGATAGGTGTACGAGGTCTGATTAATTTTGACATAGAGCGGATTTTCTTATTAAAATATTTTTGGGATGATTAGCTAAGGGATCAATCAGCCTTTGGTTTTTGAATTTCAACAAGGAAACAGGTGTTTCTTAACATCATTGTCAACGGAAAGATAAGAGCTTCTAACGACATTAAAAACCCAAAAATACAATGCAAATGAAGTCGAATGTTGAACATCATGGACTTCTGTCCGCATGCCAAGATTGTGCGACTGTCACTGCTAAAGGACCAAAGTTAGGTTTGCTCGCCACTTTCTTGTCATTGCGTCGAAAATTTCCGCCTCTCCGATTTTAAATTTATTTGGTCAGCGTGCAATTGTAAATCACTTGGGATGCTCTGAAGTGACGATGGCACAATGTCACCTGCTTGTCCCTGGATTGGGAACGCGAGAAGATTCTTTGACACTACCTTTTGCTTGTCAGAGGTAGCTTAATCTCTATGTTTGTGATGGCCTAACCACCAAACTCCTAAGCATTGACGTAATAAAAACGATAAGATCCAACAAGTTAATTGACAACCACTCGAAACCTTCACCCACCTCGGATAGGTGAAAATTTAGCTGAGATATCTAGATAGGCTTAATTTCCAGGAGTTTTCCCAATGGCAAAAAAGGCTGATCTACTTAAACGTCATTAGCTGAATCCGCACTAAAATCACGCAATGAATATGGTTGTGGTGAATATCTGTCTACTCTTAATTAGTTAATGATATCAATCGTCATTGCCAAACTTGCTGTAAAACCTACCTGCCAACTTACGATGCTAATTCGTAAAAATTTAAATACCAAGATTTGTAAACGAAAATAAGTAAATTATGACGAAAAATAGGAAATGTTCCATGCGGTATTTCTCGAAGATTCAGGTAAGAAAAGTAATTAAATACTTGTCCCTTAATTTTTCCTATCAGAACGACCTCGAGGTTTTGGCTGCATTGAATATTTTGGCTTTAAAATGAAACACTCATAATTTAGTTTCACCAAATAGGGCAACCGTAAATTCATTGAGATCCAATATTCAGGAGTCGATTTCCGCTAGAAATATAAGTGAATTAAAGAGCATAAAATGAAGTGGTCGATCAGTGCAATGATTTAAATTTTAAAAAAAAATAATACGGCTCTTCTACAGTATTTAATGTGATGCTGCCCATCTAGCTGAAATTCCAGGTGGTAATAATCAGTAAATAAGTTTCGTTCTGCCTTAGGTAAAGAAACATGACATCTAATTTTTTTGCGTTTAGATACATATGATGTGCAGTTATAATAGATTTTCTTTAAAAGCATCACATTTATTTTAAAAATTAATTCAGTCTGAATTATACGTGCGTGATTTTGTACGCACCAGGTCTAGCCTCAAAACTACCAAATGTAAAAGGAAAGCATTCAAATAGGTTAAAAATGTAGCTTAACCCAATGTGTCTGTGAGATGTATTACACAAAAAACATTGTATATCGATGAGGTAAAGTTGTGTTTAAATCAATCGATAAACCTAAAATCTGCTTTGGTGGTATTTTGCAGTGGTGTCGCTTGGGCCTTGTCTCTGGCTTGTTTTCGTTCATTATTCGTCATAACTGTAAGTGTTACCAATTCTTTTTAAAATTGCATGTTTTATTGACGCGCTGGGTGTTGGCTTTATTGCTCGATAGAACCTATTTTAATGTGTTATTGCTTTTACACCGTTTCCTATTATTGTTGATTCCATACATTATTGTTCCCTAAAATCCAACTTTTTTCGCTTTTAAAGTATAAACATTTTGTGTTTTTCGCAGCAATTTAAAGTCTCCTAATTTTGTTCTACTTATTTTAAGAAATTCAAGCTTGTTTATTTACGGGTCCTATTTAATAAAAAAGAATCTATTTCGCATGTTATGCATCTTTTACCCTTTAAAGGGTAGCCTTTTGTGAATATCAAACTGAATTCGTCCCAGGAAGACCTATTTTCTGATCCGGGGAGGTCGATTTGTATTGAAGCTTCCAAAATCCACATATCAGGTAATAGTTTTCATTATAAACTAGAATATCCATAGAACCAGATCAAACTGAAAGGGGACTTCAATGCAATACTTTTTCCCATTACTTCAGTTCTTTGAAACTTTCTGTTCGAACGTCCATATATCTGAAAAATGTCGGTCATTCTGAACATCTGCTCTACGAACTGCGATTCGACAACCACCCAGATGCGTAAATACAAATTTTAATTCATGCCCATGTACAACTTAATAGTTTATCTTTCACCGTTGCCAAACCACATGATTGTTGTTTTCCGTCTACGTTTTGTACCTTGCTTCTGACAACGAAAGGGAAGCCACCTGCTTCGAATGAGTATCCAATTAGCGTCAAATTCTTGAAGCAGTTAACCCACTTGCAGGAGGAGGAGGAGGAGGTCATTTTATTCGGAATTTCTGATGGATCTGTATTTGCTGTGTCACCAAGACATCCTTTTAAGCTGAAGCGTATTTTTCATCTCCCATTTGCTGATTCCATATCTGGCTTTGCCGTTCTCTATAATATTCCTTCGGAGGTAATAGATAACGACCATGACATTGAAGAAGTTTTGGTGGCTGTCACTTGCGGCGGTTATCTGGCTGTCAACTACCTAAATGCAGATCGGTAAGCACATTTCCTAACCAATTCCCTTGCTATAATATATTTAAGTGTTCAGTTGGCCATGGCTTCTTCCTGAATTCTAATCATCCTCTTTATTTTTGCTTGCCATAATGAAATACATCACACTGTGTAAAGTAATTTACGCTTCCAGTTAAATTGTGCTAGTGATCATCGAAGTTTAAGTCCGTAATGGAAGCATTAGGAATTATTATTGTCATTTTTGGGGGGTTAACACAGTTGATATCCTTATCCGTTTACTCTCATCATTCCCAAATTATTACAAGAGGTCTGCCCTGCATAGAAACCCTCTCTTTTTTCGCAGACGTAAACTTAGCGTGATTTTTTCTCACCTTTCTAAAGCATGTAAAACGTTCCCCTGTTTGGATAGGTCAAACGATTAAGCAGTTCCCAATCCACACTATGCTAGATGATCGTTAGCATCGGCCGTATGTGTAGTGCTGCAAATCAACTGTTGTGAAACCGGAAAGCGATTGGCCGTGACTTTATTTTAAAGGAACATGGTCGTATTTACTTCGAAAGAGACCGCACACTGTTTTATTTTGCCAAGACTCCAGCTTGCCTTCTACCGACTTCCGCCCCTGCCACGAAAGATCAGACTCCTTTCCTGCACACCCAATGGCTCCTGGTTGCACATTCTTGCGCCAGATGAGGGCTATCTGCTCTCCGTAATTTTCAGTCAGGATGTCGAAAAAGCCCTGGTCTGTAGACCGGCGCGTTATCCAAATCGTCCGGCTCGTTTCATCGCCCCACACACTCCACGGGCTTCATTGACCGATTCCAGCCAGCCCTCGGTAAATCTGAGCATTTCAAGGTCAAGCACTGAACTAAATGACGTCTTTCGATGGCGCAATCTTGAAATAAAGGAGCTGGTCAAACTTCCAGGTTTGTGGGAATTTTAAATGTATGTGTTGAGGACAATGGCATAGTCTCAAACCACACCGGGGCCACTTCACTAAATCTAGCTCGATAATGCTGCCCTGGCATTCGAGAAAATGGAGAAGACCGGAAAGGGCGAGGCACAACCGCCTACTAGATAGCTCATGTGTTTTTTATTGACTGATACAGTCTGAATGAACTTGTAACCGCACAGACATCCGAATGGCCAAATGGACAGAGCGAGCAGTGGTGGTACATTCACAAGGCGGTGAATGCATAGGCGGTCCCGCGTTGTTGACGGGCCCATCGTGAAAAGGGGGACATGTGTCTGGCACTGCGACGACTGGGTTAACGGACGTGGATCAATACGATTCGCCACGCACACACCGACTTTGGTGTCCACATCATGTACTTTGTTACGCAATTCTGACATGAGGCTGAAATAATGTCCAATTATTGTGTTCTTGTTTCTGTCTAACCTCGATACCACTTACCCTCTTAGGCTGTTTTGTGTATTCATGGGTTTGTTTCATCGATTACTCCTACCGTCAATTTGAGTGTGTGATTTTACAACAATGACTTGCGTAATTTCAACAACCCGATCCCTCTCTCTTGTAGGTGGCCAAGTTGCTGCCGTAAATGCAAAAACTGGTGAATGCCTTCAGTTAGCTGAATATATCTTGAAACACGAACAAGCAGAAGCTCAGTTTAAGGCGCCGGTCGAATCGTTGACGGCAGTCAAGAATGACGTTATCCTTCAACGCTTGCACCGGGCTATTGCCAACCGCATTTTCTCAAGTCCTGAAGATCCGCTTCCCCTGAACACAGCGGTGAAGCTGCTGCCGTTTCAGGATCTCCATGGATTTCGTACTACTCAACACCCAAGCTCGGCCATGGCTGTCGTTGTGGATATCAGTTTTCCAGTACGTTGATAACTGAGCCCTTCCGTGAAACCTCTAGTGCCGACGAGAAGCCTAATCATGTCCCCAGCCTGATGTAACGTCTCGCTGTCTTTTTACATCAACAAATAGTTACAACACAGCGAAGGAGCTCACCTTTGACTGCCGAATTGGTCTACCACATATGCTTCCTTCATTGACTTTCTTTTTCTGAAACCTGGAGAGTGGCAATCGAGATATCCGATAGGTCAAATTCAAACCAGCTGATAGGATAAGTCGATCTTGAGTTATCTTTGAGGAATATTCAGGCACGCCTCTAGAATCCGATTTCTGACATCTCTCTTTAGTCTATCCTTGTCTCTTTTATCCTCATCACCAAATGCTCTGCCTCTTGTCGTTAATGGTTACTCGAAAACCTGATTAATGCACACCTCTAGCAGCAATTTTTTTGTAGCCTTCTAGTGACGGTTACAACCATCTTGATGAATGGACGGACTTCGAGTCACTTCCACTGCCAGCGCTTGTACAAACAGTTTTCGGGAGACTCAGTCAACCTCCATCGTCTGACTTCACCACCCAGCTGTGTCAACTTCGGGAGAGCTTAACCGTTGTAACTGAAGTCAGACCTCTTGAGGTCAAATCAACCAACCGAACCTCAGACGAGTTTGAACTCACCAACGTTGCTTATGCCTACTCGGAGAAGTGGAATGCGTCTAGCCTTGTTGAATGTAAAACTGAAAATTGCCAGATTCGACGAATTTTCTTCTCTCTCCCAGAGCGTATCATGAAGGGCGTGTGCTTGGACGTGGTGATTTCTGTCTTCATCGAAATGCCATCCGACTCGCCTTTCATCGTGTACCCATTGAGACGCCGTCTCTTCTCGAGGACCACAAACGCTTTTGATTGGCTTCGTGTTCAACCACTGAGCGTAGGGCCTACAGCTGATTGGTTAACGCTCCCAATACGCATTCCCGATCCACATGTAGCTGAACAATTTCAGAGTATCCTAGCTGTTCCTTCCTAATTTATTTCATAGGTTTATTTCGAGGAATCGCTGGATTTTCTGGTGAGGGAGCTGTATCCACCTTGAGCCTACGCCACAACTTATTCGCCGAGGCTTCAATTTTTGTGGAAGTAAAAGAATCCGGCTTTAGAATTGCCTCACACAATTCCGCCGCTCTTTGGCATGTATACCAAGCCTTTCAACATTACATGAATGAATTCAATGCGGTAGGCACCGGGTAGATGTACCTAATTTTTTTACAGGGCCAAGCACAATCTGTGACTGTGGCGGACTTGAGAAACGAATTCGTAGTTCTGGAAGTAGGTGCCTGCGTAGCTAAACCACTCCTTTAGGCATTGGAAAGTCAACTTCTGGCGACTCAGAACTTCCTGAAACCACAAAATATTTTGGACATGTATGCTTTTTTACGAAATTCTAAATCCTTCGGTTTGTTGACATTGTACAAAGCCAATTCAAGCACAAATAAACCCTGACGTATTATTTGGGCTGTTTTATTGCCAGCCGCTGCGTTGACGTTTGGCTTGCTTTGCTGAGAAATTAGTTTTCTCATGGCATCCTTCCGTTGTTGATTGATGTTGGGCCCCGGAGGCTGGTGCTTATTGGTGTTCGTGCTGCTCGTTGTATGGTGTCACAGATTTTTTCAATCGTCCGGTCACCTGAATACGTGGACAGTTGTGGAAGCTGTTGAAGTTTTTTTGTCAGCGGTTTCATTCTCTCCCCATTGACACGACTGTGACCGGATTTCAATAGATGCTTTTCGGACGTCCTATCTCTCAGCTAAGCTTTACGCCATGGAAGGCATTGTGCAGTAGAATTTGGTGATTCTTGGTAGCTGGATGTAACTTATCTTGGCAATCATCTGAAAATGTCTTATAACATCGACCTGTTTAGTGTTGTGGGTCAGAGGCGCATCATTCACTACGGCATTTAGGATTGTGGGCTTACCACGCCGTCCCAATTCACCTTCTAACGAAGTTAAATTTAGTAAATAAGTTTATTTCACCCTCTGATTGCTATGTTGTGTTGGTGATGACAGTGCCGCAATTATAGACGCCCAACCGCAGTTCTAGCCCCCATTCCTTTGTCTTCATTGACTGAAAACTCGAAGCTCTAGCTTATAAATGTCGGTTTTTTTTATTTCATCCGTAGAAACCCACCCCGGTGTGTGTATGCTTGCAAAAGGTAAGTGCCACCGCACACAAGTTCACCCGTTCCTTAAACAGGCATTGAAATCGCCGATGAAAACGTTCCTCGATTGTGTGAGGCAGTTTGGAGCGTCCAGGTGAGTCATCGTCAGCCGGAGCAGATAATCGCGAGCATCGAAGACCTCCTCGAAAGGGTCGTAGCCTCTCCCTCGCTCGTTTCTGCAGGTGAGGGGCGCTTTCATCTGCACGCCCGCCTCTTTGCAAGCAGGCATTCCACCTAGGTTATGTCCTCCATGTTCACCATGTCGCATTTGTGTGGTATTGTTAGTAAAAAAACTCATCTTCTCTAGATGGGTCGTCAAACAGCAATGCTGACATGTCTTTGCCAATTTCAGTCTAAGAATACTGCGAGTCAAGCAGACCTTTCTCCACTTTATTGGTTTATTATCCTCGATGTATTTCATGTTGCCATCGCAACTGCACTCACCTTTCAAGTGGGATTGGTGACGAGCGAAAATCGACTGCGCACCAGCTTTAATTTGTGGTTTCTTGTAGGTCTTGAATCGTTTGCTGGTGCTCAATTTAGACCCTTTATGGCGTCTCTTTCTCGGTGGCGACTCCTGTTTGTTCAGGTATGTTGTGGTTCAGCATTGGCCAAAACTGTCACACCACAAATTTGTCTCCCGCCCCGATTCGTTACTGTTTACGCATAGTTCGGTCTCGCCGGCAAAACTATTGAAAAATTGCACAAAAATGGAGCGGGCAGTTTCGTTATGTCAAGCGGCAGCCCAATTACTGTAAGTGAACTCAAGTTCGAACTAGCCTGAGTTTGTACAATCAGAAATCTCCGGACAGGATTTGCAGTCTCGGCTGCCACTCTCCAGTTGTAAGGCAATCTCGGTCGTGTAAAACAAGGAAAGCCAACCCACTCGCTGTCAAGTGTTAACTGTTTTGCAAAAACAGCGATTTTGTAGAAGTTCCGAGATTTCCTGCATAAAGTGTCCCGTGATCACAACTTCAAATGCGCCTGTGCGCGGTTCTTCTGGTGCTGGTGCAACCTACCCGATTCTCGATGGAATCGTGATGCTCCCAAGTCGCATTCCTTGCTATCGGTCCGCCATTTTACTCTCTTCCGCTCTTTTTCGCAGTCTTTGGGGGGGGGGTTATAATGTACCGGTCCCTTGATGCAATTTTGTTTTTCAATTCCTACTAGTGACTTTCTCATTTGTGTTGTTTTTTAGTTTTTTTGTGTGGCCAGCTATTCCTTTTGGATAACCTTTTCTCTTGTAAACTCGAAAACCCGGGCCCAAAGCTGCCTTATTTTACGTCCACGACTTCCGCAGTTTACTACTCTGTTGTACACGTGTGATCTGTGGACTTCCTTCTTGTCCTTGGACCTCACTCCAATTTCCTTTCACGGGTATTTTAGATGCTGATATCTCTGCAAGGAGGGATGTTGCTTGAACCCGTCCGAAAGAGGCTCCTATCTCCGAATGGCTGTGTCGATTTCAATGTGGACATTCTCTTGGCAGTGGTTTCTACGGTCGCAGTATGCTGCAAGGGCGGAACCTCCTTGCTCACAGGCTAGTTTTGGTGATGCACGTTTGGTCATGCTAGGGCTGCAGGCTAATTACCGTCGTCATTCGCCAATGCCGACTGTGGTGGTGAATAGACTGGGGTTTAATTCAATTTCCAGGTGGCCTCTGATTCAAACCAGATCTAGCAGCATTGATTGAGTAAAGCGTATTGTAGGTCTGGAAGTTTCCTTCACTAAAACGGGCTCAGTGTCGCCTGTAACCAAGCCCCGCCTTCTCAGTCACGACAGGAATGGACAGCCTGTACCTGCTTTGGATGACCTTGACACGATGAATTAAGCGGGACTAATGATGATGGGAACTGGCAGTGTTGTGTAGAGATTGTTATGAATCGTGTTTATTCACACCCCTTAATTCGGTCGCTCCGCCTCCGACACAGGGTTCCCATTTTCGCAACGTGGCGCCAGCCGCGCGAACCCTCACACCTAGGTCTCGATGTTAGCGCATGTGCGACTCACACATCCGAGGTATAAATACACGCACAAACCCCACACACGACACCAACGTGGTTGATCTCTGAAGTCAACGGTTGTGTCCACGTCTTCTCCTATCTTTTTCTTCATCGCGGGTATCAGGCAAGAGTAATCGGGCGAGGGTTAATTCCGTGGCCCCGGCGTGGTTCAAGACCACATGCTGGGGCTCACAAGATAGTACGACCATAAAAGTGCCATGTGACCAGCGAAGTCCTATGGCCAAAACAATCGCGTGCCAATCTCAATTTCATGTAGAAATGTTCTTGAGGAATCCTAACCTCCCCCCCAAACAGAAACACTATTTTGGTCGATCTAAAGCCATCACCTAGCGGTCAACTCAGGGTGACTGTGTGGGCGCCCACGGTGTTCGAATGTCCAGGACCAACTGTGTTGTCACGTGACAGCCTATTTTTTTGAATATGAACCCACTGAAAAAGTACAAAAGTGTGCTAATTCATGAAATTTTCACCTCGAAATACCTCACAAAATCCGGTAGTTGTTCTGCGAAAACGCACAAAATTGTGTCTAAAACCTTTTCGAGCCTAGTACGTCCGTCTACTTGCGAAATCTCGGGCCGATTCATCGCTGTCGGTACTTTTCGTGGCTGTCATTGAATTTGATGCGCGAATTACATTGAGATTATCGTCTCAGTTTGCATTGCTTTCGGCAGACGAAACGTTAGGGCCTCTTTTTTCACATGCTTACTTTTCTTTTCGATTAAAATTTCGTGGTCTTACGTGCTGTTACACGACCTTTCCTGTAGTTGATTCACTGTTTTTTGATACATTTAGTCATGTTAAAACAAAATTGGGTCACATTTGTGGGCGATATATTGTTAGCGCCCTCTCTATTGGTCCCCAGAATATTGTGAGGTCCACTGGAAGCTGTGAGGATGTGGAATTTGAAGAGATCCCTTCGCATGAATTTCGGCCAGCGTTGTTGTTGTTGTTGAACATGCAGAACTCTGATGCTAATGGCGGTGGATGTACTCATGCCTACTGGCATCCTTCTGCTAGTGTTCTGTCTCTTTTCCACAGACTTTCTTCACGAATTGCTTGCCCAAGTCTTCTCCGCCCCCGTACGACCACAAGACAACCCATCCGAGACGATGCCCGACTTGGCCGCCATCCTCGACGACTCCTCTGTCTCCCAGGACGTTGACTTCGAGGACCCTGATTACGACGTGAAGGTCAAGTCATGGCAACTGAGGCACGCTATCCTGATTGCCCGACAGCTCTCAGTCGAGGACGAGCGCATCACTGGGTTTTCTTACCAGCAGTGGTGGATCGCCAAATTCTCGACCTCACCGTTTCAAGTACATGCTTTTTTCCCCCAAATTGAACCCTCATTCTAGTCCAAAGGCGGCGTGATCGCGAGTCGCCGAGGTGTCGCATTTTTGGCAACTCACCTCCTGAGTCTTCTGCCGCACGAACACACCGCCACATTCCTCCGCACCCAGATTTCCTCTGTGCCATTTTGGGCGCAAAGAAGCGAAGATGGCACATCTGAAGAGGAAGGATGGTTGGACTTGTGGAGAGATTATGCCGACATTGGCAAGGGCAGACTCGCAGAACTGAGAGTGGGTATAGGTTAAGCCACCAGCTTGTGTTTTTTAAGTGGCAGTAATAGCTGTTCCTGTTAGATGCAGAATCCCAGCACAGAGGGTTTGATGGCACCACCTGGACTAGAAACTGCCTCGGACGAAAGGTGGACGGAAGTCAAGCCACTTGTCGAGGAATTCGCCGATCAACTTTCGAGGGGTGTTCAAAAGGATAGTGCTAAGGTCCCATCAGCGATAGTCGAGATCGGTCTCTTCCGGCCGCAATACCTGCGCGAGGTTGTCATGCCTCTCCTGCGCTCGCCGCCACCCCTGACGGACCCACAACGCGAGGCCTGTGCTCTTCTTGTGCGTCTGCTGGAGTCGCGCTTTTGCTTCAAGTCGACGAAGGCCATTAACCGTCCAGCGAAACGGAATGTTCGTAACACACCTGTTGCAAAATACAGGAAAAATGTTAAATAGAAAACCCATTTTTTCTGCTTATCTGTGAGTTCGCCGATAATCTGGAAACCGAAGGTCCGTTTTCTCCGTTGCCCTGTTGTGCTATGGAATGACAGTACGAATAATGGACAGTCGGACTTCTTCGAAGTGACCAATTTCCGCCTTTCTCACTTTTTGTTTTCCACACGCTGAACACTAAAGTGAAGTGATTGAGCTCGCTTGTGCTTGACACCAATCTCATTTTTGACATCTGCAAAGTGGTTTTGAGTGCAAACGAGAACTCCGATTTAAAGGTGGCGAGTGGGTTTACCTTTGGAACTCCATCTAGGAGTGATATAGCTGTGGCCCAGCTGACATTCTCACACGTAGTGATTAGTCCTGTCTAAAGACGTCTGGACAGTAAACGCACGGCAATGAATGTGCCACACGTTTGCTGACGACAAGCGCTTGTTGAAGGCCCTGGCATGTTGTCTTGACCCACGCCGGTGCCACTGCTCCAATCTAGGCCGAATACGTCACCCTGTGTTCCCGCGAAAATAAAGAAGACCGGTGTGGAGAAGGCACAACCGTTTACTAGACAGATCAACCAAGTTGTGTTTTGATGACTGATACAGTTGAGTGGACTACTAGAAATACAGGCGTCTGAATGGTCACATAGATAAGGGGGGTGGTGGTGGTACAGAGGTGTTAATATGAGCAGGCGGTCCCAGTGGCGAGAAGGGGTTGGTTGTGTGTGGGGCTGCGACGGCAGGGTTATTAGACGTGAATTAACACGATCCACTATATGCTTTTTCCATGCGACAAGGCGACGTGGTGACGTCCATGGATTACCCAGAGCTAAAAAAGCGGCGATTTGTAATTTCGATGTTCCCTCTCACCTTGTCTTCGGTTGCCCAAATGAGCCTTTTTTTGTGACCAAACCGTACCTGCATTTTTACAATATATCGGTGGTATTTGGCGGGCGAATTCAATAGGAAATCAATGCGTTTTTGCAGGCACCATACGTTCACACAACATTTCTCCATCAATATCTGGCTGACTTGGAAACCTCACTACACAGTTTTGCACACACACACACATGAACAGTACCGCCACTACTCCTTTTTAATCCACCCAATCTAAGGTATCTGAACAGACGTGGCAGGCCCACGAGCACCTCGGAGACTTCATTGGTAGCCCCGCCGTCTAAACACAAATCTCTCATAACTAGTCCCTTCTCTTATTCTTTTAACCTCAAACATCACAAGATGTGTAGGAGTAATCTCGCCCTATCGTTTCTGTTTCTCTGTGGTTGATAGCATGGGAAACCATGCGCACTGGTATTGGTGTTTTCTGCCTGGACCACCCCGAACCTCCGCGTTGACATTTCCTTACCGACATTCAGTGAGAATACGTGTATTTCGTATATACAAGGACATTTTGTTATGCAAAGTGGCACTAGGATTCCTCATTCGCGTCGTCTTCAGTTGACAGGAAGCGGCGCTTGTACGAGGTGCTCATGTAGGGCCGGAAGACCCACTCCACGTCCGCTGTCGACTCCTCGTGCAGCGGCCCCCTCCAGATCTTGTAAACTACACAAACAGAAAAAAAAATCATTTTTCAGTAGTAACTAACAACCGCAGCAATATAATACTCTAGTAATGCTCGTGCAACTGAGACGCACGACGCAAACTTCTATTGCTTCTAACCCAATTGCTTAGTAAAACGTCAATTGACTTGCTTGGGAATTTTTGCTTGACACAAGACGACATTAAAAGTGTTAGTTGTGCACGATGATTTAGAGTAAGGATCATCATGATTGTCGTGGAGAAGAATGGAAGGGGAACTCACGGCGCATGTCGAAACGGGGTCCGTGTTCTTCGATCTCCAGTTCCTTGTTGACGTACTTGTAGGTGTGGTGTCTACAGAACAAAGACATTAATGTGATCACTTGTAGCGATTTGTGCTCGCGCAATCACAGTGCAGATTTAACTAATAACCGCCCGTGAAAGTATTGGAGTTAGGCAGTAGACTGTCGTTAAGAGAACTCAATTACAACTTAACGTATTTTGGCTGTCGAAATTATACTGACACTGCTAGTCATGGTTAGCCACACAGTGGTTACCACTTGTGTGACGTGTGAGATGGTCTGACTAACTTTCACCCAGCTTAATGGACTCTCACACTAATGGCATCCGATAGATTTAAACAATTTGTACTTTACAACTACCAACAGCTTGCAAATCATTCAAATTATCATCGTGCACTTAGATGCCGATGAAAGTTACAGGTTCAATTTTCACAAGCGAATCACTATGGTGAGTAAAATAGAAGCCGTGATGTAAAGCCAACAGTCCCCTTCTTAACTAAGCGAATAAAAGGACAGATTATTTTGAAACTAAAAAAACACTTACCTAAACCGAATAATATCCTCGTCTTCATACCAGGAAATAACGCGTTTTGAGTCATCTTTGGGGACGGGGAAGAGGTGTTTGAGGATGCAGCGAACGCGCATCCCCAGTTTCGTATTCAAGCCATGAAAGAGGTGCTGGGGGAAGGCCTGTGGACACTTGGCTCCACTGCCACGTCCCTTCTCCTCGAAGTCGTGCTTCATCAGGACATTGAAGAGGGTGAACTTCGCCGTGGGACCGAACGGCAGGTGGCTGATTATCAGGGTGTCGGGAACGCCGCGGGTTTCGTTGATGACAACGACATCAGTTACCTGGCATGATATAATAAAAACAGCACCGTAAATTTCGAAATACTGCGCCTATGTATTTCGAGTCTCCCCGGCCTGATGATGACAGTTCGTAAAAGAAAAATAGAAAGTGCGTGTGTGAATTGGAAAAACCAGGCTGTGTTGGTGCACATTGTGAGTAAATTAAAACACGAATTTATGGGTTGTTATACAGGTGAGACAAATTGGACATGCAGCCAAATTATCGCCGGTACGGTGATTGTAGGTGCTCAAACTTTATCCCCCAAACATGTTAACAATTTTCATCAACTTTCTACTGTTATCGGATAATTTTTCTTTTATTTCGACGCATGTGGGTACGAAATAAGTTATCGCTTCCTTTTTATGCAGCAAATCAACACAGTACCTATAATACCATTATTTCTACACTGCTTGCTGACTATAAATATCGAATGCAAGTTGATTTAGCTTTAACTAATTTACATCGTCAATACCCGAGTATTGGTGTCACAAATGCATCACCACAACTTATAATTTGTGGTCTTCGTACTCCATCCACAGTCTAGTGACTGGTTCAGCATTTTACCAGACCAAGTTGCGTTACATAGTTATTCAACCCACCACTATCAAATGTTTGGTTAATTAGATGAGGAGATGGCAATGCAGCCACTGGCAAGGAGATTCTTCGAAATATATAAACGACATTGGCATGCATTAAGAAGGCACAAATAGCCCCTAGTGAAAAAACGTTAACAAAGCCTAGATGAAAGCCCAATTGAGATAACTTACCTGCCGAGCCAGACAAGCATCCATTAGGTCTTTGGTTAGATAATTGCCTCGATTTATTTTGGTGGAATTTGGGATGAGGTGTCGCAGTTCCTTCGCGAATTCCTGCAGCCGAGAGCTAGGCGAACGGGAAGTTGTGACCACAACGCGAGGATCCTCTGCGCCGGCCCAGTAGTACTCATCATCCTCCGCCCCTAAATCACCCTCGCCTCCATCATCACTCCAATCAAGGTCCTCGTTTAGAGCTATGGCATCATCTGCAATTTCCTTAGGCAGACGCTTCCCTTCAGTTATGGCCGCTTTAATTAGCTTCCTCTTCTGCTTCAGAGCTTCATCCCGAGCCTCGATAGAACGGCGGTAAATGAATTCCCGACGCAACCGTGCCTGACGTTTGAGCTAAACAAAGTAATATTACAAGATACGCGAATATAAGTCGTGATAACTATGGTAACGCCATTTCTTACGATTCAGCGGTGCTCTTGTAAAATCAACACAAAGGTTTTAAACATTATAAACCATATAAGCCTAACATAGAGTGGTAAAATCACATATTCGCGTGTCTTAATATGACATTAAAAGTTGGTTAAGGCGACACGACAGTTGATGAAATTTTAGGTACTACCAGCAGTATCGACAGAATAAGCATGATGGCAAAACTTTGATTATGGCTTTCGACTATAACCTAAAATTACTAATAAAAACGGCCCATTTTTTACAGTTACACACTTTCAGGATATTAAAAACGGAATTAATGTATATGGTTTTACTCACCATGTTAGTTCAAGTTCTACAGATTATTTACACACTTCTTCACACCTCAGAGTTTATTGGCTATCAAATGTTTATTTTATTTGTTCAAGAAAAATAGATTTTGGAAAAAAACAGAAAGAAACACAGCTAAAAGATTTCCACATTAATCTTAATATCCAAATTGTTTTCAAAATTTGATCTATATACTATAGTTTCCGTAAAATGAACTGATGTTGTAAGTTTGCCATAGTGAACCGTCTAATCCCTTGTAAATGCGGTATTTAATTGAACCATTCAATTAAATAATTTCAGTTTTCTCCTACATTTTTATTTTGAATTTACTATACCCCTCAACGCAAACTTTTCTGTCATGTTTCTGGCACGTCTAATTAAATAAAAAAATTGCAATATATATCTCGTCCCATTTTTTGGCAATAATTTCTTCCTGTTCAACCTAGCCGCATGCATTTGCAAATAATAACTTTATTTGACATGCGACATGCAATTACAGACCAGGTTAGGACTTTGTGGTTTGTACTCATTCAATGTGTCGTGTACTTGCCGAAAGCGCACCTTAAATGGAAGGTAAATATTGATTTCTCCCCTAAGACAGTTATGCAATCGATGTTGACAACCGGACACGCGACAGGAGAAGATGAGTTATAGGGAACTTTTGTATTTTACACTTTGGGATAAAAACACACAAAATACTAGAGAATGTTTAGTTTCGGAGTAGGGAGGAAAATGCAGTAGGAGGAATCAGATTTGAGCAGCGGGCCAGTAGGTGCGGCTTGAGGAATGGCGGAGGGATCGAGGGTAAATAGAGGAGAGCAAAGTACATACCATGATATTGTCTGCTGACCTAATGACACGCCTTACAAGTAAACACATTTTAATGGTGTTTAGCGGAAATCAGATACGAAACGTATATAACAATGAAGGCATTTCGATATTTAGATTTGAAAGCAACCTGGAGGATAATCTACGCAGTTTAAGTTGCTGCTTTCTAATAAAATCTACAATTTAGCTATTTATTTGAACCTAAAGCTTTTTATACTGCCGCTGAATGTTTAGTGCTATTGATTATTGAAATAATGCATCTTATTGGGCTAAATACTTACGTTGCTTTGTCGACTTTAGAGAGTTTTATGGTCTTTATGCAAGCTAGATATTTGTCCTAAGTGTAGGTTTGCACTAGCTTATTTATGTTTCAGTGCTATGTAAAATTTGTTAAAATAGTATGATTTGATCAACATGCTTGGATTTATCGAATAACAAGCAACTTTATTTCGCAAATCGGCCACAAATCACGAAACCTAATCGACGCTCTTTTGTTCGTATGGATCGTTGTTCTTGTAGTTCGTGTACTCATGTTCAACTCACCTTCAATCCGGAACTTCGAAGAACCCTTTTTAGACTTGCTAATTCCTAGAAGAGATACCCATATCTGTAACTTAACGCTTTGATGAACCGGTGATAATTACATTTGTTTCGTAATCATCAAATCAGTCTCCTATCTTTTTAACTTAGTCTTTGTTTATTCGGACTCCAAAATTACACTTATTCATTCCCTTAAACTTTCCAGGTACGCGTTTAATTAAATACGAGAGACAATAATCATTTATACATCACAACTTTATTATTATGACGGTCTCTGTTGATAAAACTGATCAATTTACAACTAAATAAATTATCAATACAGCGGTTTACTCATGTACTGATAGCATGATCAATCTAACAGCACGTGCTGCATAGAATCTCTTTTAATAGTTCCAGTTTATAATCTTCCACTAAAGGTAATTTTCTAGTCTCTGATTCCTACATGCTACTAGAAGTAATACTGTACCTGTCTGCCCGAATTTCACGCTCTCTTTACAAAAACCTTTTTTGGCTAAAAACATATTCTGATATACGCATAAAAGTGTGGTCGACAATGTCTACCTGGCCAGCACATTGCTGGACTTCATCCAATGATTATTCACATTGCAAGTGTTAATTCTGTTCTTCGAATCTCCACGTTTCGTGTACCGGCCAATCACATTACTTTGGTTCTACTGCTGCAGAGAAACTCAAACCTCGTAACGCCTCGACGCAACACCCAAATCTTTATTTTAATGCACAAACGTTATCATCATGGTTGGTATATGTGAAGCTAAGTGATGTGTGTGTGTGTGTGTTTGTGTAGATGCGTTAACGTATGTGTTTGCCTCCTGCTGCACTGTTGCAGAATTCACTTGCAGCCGCAGGACCGGACAATCATGTCCGGTCGATGATTCAGCACTATTCGATTGTCCGTCTCAAAATAAAGCATTGGCAGCGGCTCGAGTTCGTGTGGCACGCAGCGCGGAGGAGGTATGTGCTGGGCCGGGCTGTATAGACGCGCCCAGATGCTTTGCAGCACCGCGTGATTGGTCGGGTGCACCTCCTGACCCAGGGGGAAGGCGCAGGGGCCTGAGCACATCCCCGCGTCGTAGCTGACTGGCGCCAAAATCCAATCGCTCATGTTCAACTTGGTAAAACTAATAACCATTTTCCGACGTCGACAGTGCCTCTTCAGGTGACTATTTTTCATCGTAGCTGGCTGCTTCTTTGTGAAATGTACCTGAGGGAAAACATTTAAAGTACTGTTTAGCAAGTGGCGATCAGCGACCGAACGTTGCTGGCAGACCTGACCACGCATGTCTTTAATCGATAGCCTTGAGTGCAGTTCACGTCGCGATGTTCGTTCAGCGATCGATCGTCGAGAATTCTCATATAAACCAATGCCCAACCACGCTATCGACACGTTGGACAACCGCGGCCTTACTGTGGTGTCAAAATGTTTGTCTACGGCCTCCTGGTTGGCCCATGCCTAGGTAGATTGTCGGTCCCAATGTGGTTCTCAAACCGCGCCACGGCGCCTACAAACATATCGCTTTACAATAAAATTTAACACTCTCAGTTTTGAGGAGCCATCGCGTGTATTCCATCCCAATGTCAGGGTCATAAATATTACTTTTCATTCACTTAACGGTAGATAAGTAGAGCGTCTAAATCCAGAATAATAATTAACCATTCGTCTTCTAAATCTGGTGATTTTTTCCCAATTTACTGGCAGTAAAACAGGTTCCGTGGGTCTCTGGATTTTTGGTTTTATATTTGGGCTTCAAAGCTTCTTTAGTCGCACGAAAATCTTCCCTGTGCGGTTGAATTATGCACAAGTTGTCATTCCCATGTTGTATGCTCCCTTGTCCCTGACATTTGATTTAGTGTAAACCAAATTTGTCCGATAAATTCATAGATGTATTTCGCACGCTTTCAGGTGTTTACAAAAGAAGAGGAATTTATGAGAACTTTGTGTACACTTCTAACAAAACGTAAGGAATTATTATGGTCATCTGCAGTGTTGATAGCTCATGTTGGTAGTCGGATCAAGCGCGTCAGTTTTCATTTGCTAAAACTATCCTCTAATTCTAGGCTTACATATGCAATTCATTAAAACAAAGAAACTAAAGACCCGCAGGTTTGTCACGTTGCTAAGGCCTCGCAACTTGTAATCATTAGCTACCGTTATTCAATCCGTCAAGGACAATTTCCTCTCTCCAACTTCACAAATACTCGACGATAAGCTGCACGTGTTTGGGCCACGAAACGCCTGTGCGTTTGAGTTTCTAATGGCCATCCGTCCATTGTCTTCCATCCAAGCAAACCATGGGTCTTTTAGCTAAAAAGCCAATTTGTGGCCCCATATAATGACTAGATGGATTAAATCCATCGGTTCAAACAATTGGAGTCTCAAATGACGCGTCTGTGGTAGAATATTGATTGGGCATTCATCCCCACGGATTACTGATTGGCTGTAGAGTTTAAACAACGGTGCCTGGGCTTTGTATATGTTTTGACCTACTGGGACCGAATTTCCCAAAGTGACTGACAGTGACATTAATCGATAACTGAATCGGTCAACAATCGATCGAATTACCAGCTGGTATAATTCATCTGCATTGATTTTATAGCGGATGAATATTTTGCAGCACAAAATAAGTGCAAAAATCAGCCCATCTAGACAAGATCCTAGTTACTTTCGTGGGATTCTGTGATGGTAAAAATATTACTCGCATTGCCAAACAAAATGCAACTCACTGTATTCCTTTTTGATCTGCGTAAGCTCTGGCCAGTTGCCATCGTCTTGGGCGATTGGTAGGCCTGCATGTAAACCTTGATGTGGCGCCACGGTTCATTCCTCAGAAAGTCCTGCGCGAGGTCGTGGTTGTCTTCAAAATATCAAATACACAACTGATAGCAGGATAGCACCACCCTAGTTTATTAACTGATATCTTCATGTCATGTAGTTGAACAGAAATAAGCATCATGATGCGCCACAGGCACTGATAAAACCCACTAGTTGGTTTGTTACTATGGTTTTATCTGATTGTTACAAAACTAGTTAGTTTTTTTTCTTTTTAAACCACCAGCAACACGTGTCAGCAAGTCACTTTTCTGCCATCAACTCATCCCACGAAAATACGGTTCGTGATGACGGCAGCACCTTCGCCACGCTATCTGAACTAAGAAACATCAACTCATCAGTAATTTTATCGTCGCCTTTCAATGCACGCCAGCAGTGATCGTATTTGTGTCTCGGAGCTTAATGCCGCGTAACTTTGCAGTTCTTTTCCAAAATACCATTCGTGCTTCCTTGACTTGCTGCAGTCACGGATCAACGTGATTAAGCTTAACCCAGCCTGATAAATTCGTCGATAAACTGCTTTAAATGGGGGATCCGATGGTAGGGGGTCAAGGTCACAGGCAGATTCAAAAGAAAGACCCACACACCATCAATACCTGAGCCGTGGTTCCGGTGATTCTGTATTGATTTTTAATCTTATTCTGCATCATCGTCTAGAAGGTGCCACCGGTATATTTACTTCCCCTTGCGAATATGGACGCATCTGGTGTTGCGTTCAGCAGCAGACGCCATCTCAGAGCAGACGTGCCAATAGTTTTTTTAAGTACCAATTTATCAGAAGGCTTTGGCACCTATTTTAACGATATTCTGTGGCTCCAGCGATTAGTCAGCTCTCAAATTTCATCGATCTTCAAATTGGGGTAAAGGCTTCAGTTCGAATTGCAATAAATGAGCCAATCGTTCTCCCTTTTTACGAATCTGGATGGTTGTGCAAAATTTTCGCAGAAAACGCACTAAACAACAGTTTAGGGGGTGTGAGTAAGTCAGTAATGCCTCCACTGAAAATACTCTCCTCGTAGGCCTTCGAGACAACCTATGTCGTCGTTGACTAGACCTGGAGCTCCTCTCACCCCTTTCTTGAATGTTTTTATGAGTGACGTCGCCATGACATTTCTCTGCCTCGTCAAGTTGCCGCAGGTGGGACTGATAGAAGACCATTCAGCCACAACCAATCCAGTCTTTGCTTAGCGATCAGGTCTACTTCAATTTGATTGGTGCTTATGACTAACCGATAAGTCATCTATAGATCACGCCAATGCGAAAATGACTTCGCACGCCTGGGAAGTGGCCTATTTGTCGTGCAGCCCCCAACCTCTTACCTGGTCTCAGATTCGATGACTTTCAACGAAGAATTGAGGCAAATTGTCTGCGTGCAGTTATTTTCGAAGCATGCACAGAAGTGAAGTCTCTCAAATGTAGGAAGCCCTCATTCATGCGCACTTAGCGAGTTTTATGTCTGCCGTTAAGTAAGTCTACCATAAACTAGTGGTAAACTCGACTCTATCTGATGTCAAGCAACGTCGCGTTTTAATCTGCTGACTTTAAAACACTTAATGTACTGCCATACCGTGTTTTAAATGGCCTCAAACGCATTCATTTTGAGCACAAACAGCTTAGGATGAGATAGGACAACTCAAATTGAGTAGCTGCAATTTAAGTGGGTCTTTTAGTATCGGAGGACATGAATTTGCGTCGATGGCTTTTTGCAATACCTTCTGGCTTAGCTGTCTAGTGGATCGCGTTGAATCACGCTCATTACTCCGGCCACTCCAGCCTCCAACACAGGGTCCCCCTTTTCGCAGCATGTCACCAGCCACGCGGATCCTCAACTCCCCCCTCATTAGCGCGAACAATTATCCTAGATTGTTCTCATACCTAGGTCTTGATTTGAGCACATCTATGGCTCACACATCTGAGCTATAAATACACATGCGCATTCGCCACCCATGACACAATGACACCAACATGGTTGAGCTCGGAAGTAAACGGTTGTGTCCACGCCCTCTCCGGTCTTCTTCATCATTGCGGGAACCAGGGTAGCGTAATCGGGCCAGAGTTAATTCCGTGGTCCCGGCGTGGTTCAAGACCACATGCTGGGGCCCACAACAACTGATAACCCCACAACAGCTGTTTAATATGCCACCCCTTTGCATCGTGCTGTCAGACATCTTTCAAAGTGGAGGAGAAATTGGTGCTTAATTGAAGTAGAAGTAAGCATTGCTTTGCCAAGGTCTTACCCTCTGGCGGGAGTTTGTGCCGCGCTGGCGATGCGCGGTCGTGGCAGTAGATAATCAGGCAGGGCTGCAGACGATCAGCGTTGTGGAAACGTCGTCGAACAAAGTTGATCCCAACGGGACTGCTCCTGAGGGTGCTGTCAGCAGTGGCCGCCTTTAGCACAACGCCTGCACAAACAACACGGGTGTAGTCTTGTCTTAAAAGGCCATAGAACAACAGCCAAAATTATTATCATGTGTTAGGGGGTTTTCGTTAGGATGTTGCCCTTGGAAATTGACCAGGTCATCCATCGTAAACAGTCAGAATCCCAAATAGGTTTGCGATACGACCTGCTGAAAGCGGACGATTAAAAAGAGCCACTTTCAGTGACCAACGAAGGTGGAACACGACACTGAAAGTGGTTAATAAATGGGCTTGGTTTTTGGTCAAGAAAATTACGTTGCAGCAAGTTTGAGGTCGTGCCCAGTGGCCAAGTAGGTTGTAAATCTCGGTTTGGCTAACTGCGCTGCAAGTTAGCGGCAAATTGTCAAATCTGTCAAAAGTCATTTGTTCTAACAAGCCCAACAAAATCCAGCATGTAAGACCCATTATCTAGCGGAAAAAATAGCACAATTGGATTAAGGAAAGAGGGGATAAGCTGGACAGGAAGTGGAGAGCAAAGGGGCCCATTGTGAACGGGTCACGTGCTCCCATTGTCAATTTTGGGCAACGTCGTGGAATAGTTAACGTGAATCCAGGAAACAGCCAGATCTCAATGCGAGCATTTACGGTGAAGTTTCCATTGCTTTACCTAAATGAAGTGCTTTTCCAACTTGCAAATATTTAGCCAAATAATGTGACGTTGAATGGACGGCTAATTCCTGTTTGTTGTCCTCTGAGGACTGAGGAACAGCTTAGTTCCGCAAAGTAAGCAAAAGTTCACGAGCCTACCAACCCAGGTACTAGTGACATCCTGTTGTCAAACTGGAGAAAAATTAATCAATTGGAATTTTTTTTCAAAATTCGTCCGAAATGAGGATGCGAACCGCAACCTTAACCACAGAACGTGTCTAACTTTCGTGATCTTCCTCACTTTCCATTTTCACAAATTAGATAAAGTGGGCATCAATCCCGTGACAGTCAGACACACCCACAAATCGATGGCACTTGTGAACTCAGAAAATCTCGCTGCAAAGCCAGAGATTTGTGAGGACACTAGCTTATCGTGCATGCTATTGGCGTTCACGCCATACCCATAACTGTACATTACACATCACCCATGATTGTTATTGTCCGTTTCACGCAGTAACCCCAAATTAGTTGAGTTAACACAACAAATACCGCACAGATCACATCATAAAACTAGTTGCAGCCAGTTTTGTGTCCCGTGGACACAGAATGTTGTACAGAAGCACTCTAATTCAAGACCCTGGTTTGGCGAATCGAGGAGCACAGTTGCTGCCAAAAGTTTTTTCCACCAGAAGTTCCCACCGTGAATGCCACCGTCGAAAACATTTGGGGATATGCGGCACAAATACAAGCGTTCCGTGTTTGCATACTGCCTTGGGAACCACTTGCATCTAACCGCCTCTTCGCGTGACCTTTCGCTAGCCGCATTCTGCACCGTCTAAAGTGTAAATGAGCGATTTGTGTGTGTGGGGATGTGGGAGGGGGAGGGCTGGTGCAGGTGGTTGGTGTTCATTCTTCGATATGAGGCGGTTGTTCAAGTGGAAGCCTCGCAAACAAGTTATTAAGAGCCCATAAACACAGTAGCTGACAAAGAGAGCCTCGCACACGATTTCGAAGTGAAGTCCATGTCAAAATCGTCTCCCAGAAGTGGTTAATTATGCTAGGGCTTACAGCAACTCATAGAGCAAGCTCATTGGCTGCCTACCCCTGTGGTTCTTTTGATGTATTAGATCTTCTGCACTTCTTGCGGGCAATTCTAAATTGCCAATGAGGTGAACCTTGCTCTGTATGACATTTCATGGCGTCTTCTGTGTGCTCCCAGACACTGTGACAATCCTGAGGGCTTATTTTGACCACCAGACTCTGAGTTGAAGTGCTTCCAAAAACCGCTGATAAATATCTCCAGACAAAAGCCATATTTTGGAATCTAACAATAAAATGAGTAAAATAAACATGCAACCCAAGTGGTCGAAAGTCAACATTGACGACGAACATAGTTCAGAAGAAGCGATCAGGTCAGAATAGGGACACCCCTATTCTTTCCCCAACGGCCTTGTAAACTTTTCCACACGGCTGCGAACAAATATTTACCATTTAATAATCACCCACTTGTAATGCCAAGGGCTAAGATGAACAACTGCTTTTTTCGTGAAAGTACGACAGACGCGACTCCATGTAATTTACCCTGGCGTGGTTCCCAAGCACCGCGCTTCACCAAACCAAAGCAGCCCCTGGTCGTGGTTCGTTCGGTTCAAATTACAACACCCGCTGTTTCACTTTGTGGTGGTTTGCGAGTTTGAGAGGTGTTTATTTGAAACCCAGGCAAAACACGTTCCATTGTGGTTTTGCAAAAGTAATATTTAAAGACAATACTAACGCATACTATTAAATTCGCTTAGTTCCGGTAATAGCTCAGGATTTGTGAGGCCATTCTTGGCAGATTGACACTACAATAAGCAGAAAACTGTGTTTACTTGGACAAAACTGGTTGCGCAGTGGCCATTTTTAGGTTAGGCAACCCCATGTAGCAGACTACGTCTCTTTAAGTGATCTGGTTTCTAAGCGATCCAACTACAAACTTGCAGTAATCTTCCCCATCCCTATCTCTGTTTGTACTTATTACCCAAAATAACGCTTTGTAAAGAAATTTAACGACTTAGATAAGGGAAAGTGCATTTTCATTACAAAGTGTAGTAATGCAAATGACTTGTTTATGCAACTAGTTTGCGTGAAAATCTCGCATCCAAACCCAAAAGTGTACACAAATTGCCCCGACGAAGTACCTGTCAGACCCCATTTCTTGAACTGGTTCGCCTTCCGACATTACGTGTCCGGCAGTTAAGACTGTGCCAAATGAAACAAATGCCAAAAAGCCGACGGCTTAAAGACTGTGTAAAGTCATCTTCAACGTGAATTTGTCCATAGCGGCCAGAAAACGAAAGACCGTTTGCCAAGCTTTCATTGGTCGAAACCGCAGCCGCGATCAACTCCGTGCTTTAGTTACATGGAATAAAAGCTCAGAAAAAGCACCAATTGTGTTTGGTTCGAATGTAATTTAAACATCTCAAGTCTATGTCTCAGCTCTGGTTGAATAAATCAACAGGAACACTTTAAAGTTTACTCCACACGGCAGGTTCGCCGTGTCTGAGACAAAGTCAATTTGCGTGTCAAACTCGATGAGGCAGAATTTCCATCGAAGCAAAAATTCCATGTTTGGTGGTGTCCTTCCTCATTATGCCAAACGAAGGGTAAGTAAATGCTTTTTCGATTAGTTAAAAGCACCCGTTACAATGTTCCACCACCACCACCAAGAAAATTATGCCTCTGTTTGCCGATCAAAGGTAGGGGAAAATGCCTTCCCATGGACAAGAGGTACAGCGCCTTGTCAAGTACAAAGGCACAGACAGGAAAGAGCGGCCACAAATGACTTGTGTGAGCCACCAATGAACCCGAGTGTGTATTTGCAATTAAAGGTTGATTGATATACCTCGCTGATAAGTACATTATTCCGGCTGTGTTCTTTAAGCAGCCGGTACGTGCAGCGTCACATATTGTTTAGCTTGAATTTTTTTAAAAATGAGACTGTAATTAGGAGGCTCGTTCAAATAATTTTGTTGCTGCAAAAATTATGTCTTGAAATGGGACTATTTGGTGGGCCAAACGTGCACTGTCAGCAGTTTCTTTAATAATCGACCAATCATTTTCTTCCCGTCATCGTCCTTGTTGGGCTATGAACATAACATCGGTGATGCCGTAGTACTGAAAACCACATGTGATTAGCAAAATATCAAGCGCATGCCATTCTAACGGTGGCGAGGATTTGGTAATCTCCCTAACCTTTACACGGACCTTGGTCCGCTTCACTGAAGTTTGCATTTACAGCCGTCTGTGTTTGTCTTAAAACCGGTTTTTCGATCCCACCACACACACAAGTCTATCAGGCTGGGGCGATTTTGGATTTCGTACCCTCATTTTGATCTGCTTCTCCAACACTAAATCAGCCACCCTCACGATCAATGGATCGTCAGTTAGCACAGACTGTGGCGATCAGCTAGTGAGCATTGCTGGCAAGTGTGAGCCAGCACCGATTCGATCGATTTTCTTAAACGCACTTCACGTCAGCGATCGATTTTCAAGCGTCTCACCGCGCTATCAACACTTTCGGTAACCACGCCCTTATTATGGCAAGAAAAGGGTTGAGCCCCGTGTTCTTCTTTCGTGGTTGAATCGTGTCTACGTGGATTGTCGACTGCGGTGTGGTTCTCAGTCAGTCGAACTGTAAACACTACTTCAACTAACTTAAAAAGTTTTGTTAGATGGAACATGAGTAGAAATTTCAAAAATCCTCCGACCTTCTACTAGAACCTCTCACCTGTCTTTCGTAAATGATTTTTGTCTGTAAATTAAAACAAAAATGAATATCGCTCTCTTTCCGATAAAAAAAAGTGAATGCACAACTGGAAAACTGTGCCCAAAGCTGGAAGTTGATGCATTGTTATAATGGAAGGAGCATTTTCTCACAGAAAGCTAATGACTAGGCTTGTTTTTTTGCGACAATTTCGAAGAAACTAGTAAGGTGGGCACAGTAAACGACTTATCCACCAATACAGGTAACCCAAATACTATGGCATTTGAACGAGCCTGCTTATTGGAGTCTTGTTTTAAAAAAAATTACGCGAAATGTGATGTGAAATCGGTGACGCTGGAGATGTCTGAGTTACGCCATAACCATGCACACAATGTTTGGCAAAAATTTGCGGTTAATTTCTGCATCCATGGATAGTGAGCCTTAAATGAAGGTCTATTGTCAATTGGCAACGAAGATGCGATTGGGGGGGGTTTGAACTGTACGCTCTCGGTTCTACAAGTGGCGTCTAAGACTAGTTTTCAGTTAGTGTCAGTTGTTCCAGCCCCCTAATTGTGACACCAGTGATAAGATTGGAAAAGTCGAAATTTACTCACCCTTATTTACACCTTGCTGATTAGACTGGAGCCAGTAAGTGAGGGCTTCGTTGACGTTGAACACGACCCATCCGTAGAAATGGCGTGGAATCCGTTTCGCGTCAAGAAGCTTGAGTGAATCTCTTCCATCAGAGCCCGTTTTGATGTAGAAAAGTTTAAGCTACAGTCGAATACGCGCCAAGTTATAAAACACCGTGGCTGCAAAATTGTTTTAATTTCTGTATTCGGAGTGGTTTGGAAGGAAGTATCATAAATCAATTGAAGAAGACCCCTTTTTGAATAATTATGATCGTGCTTAAAAATGTTTGCGCATAAAATAACTCTTTGCCGGTTTCATGATGATAGAATGAGCAAATCAATAAATAGATACCAAATCAATTAATAGCAGCATTTAATCGCCGGGATTTCATTGATCCAGCATTATTGAAAACCCGATTTCAGGGACAAACTTGGCTTGCTAACGACTGCAACCGTCTAAGAAAAATCACATTGGCGTCTACAAGATGCCACTAAAAATTTTATATTCATTATCAGATAAGTGTTGTCTACGTAGGGCAAAGCCTTCTTGATTATCTTTCAAGCCCTAGAACTCATTCTGTGGATTCCACAAAATCCACCTTGCCTTCAACCAGTAGAAATGAGGTACAGGTGGCCCTGTGCTGTATCATCTGAAAACCTCAGCGCAAATTTGCATAGTGAATTTTAAATAGTGCCGTGACGTGATGTGAGTGTTGCAACATTTAACTCTCATCATTTTTTAACTCTACAGAACTTGGTTAACATCGTCAATTTAAGAGATTTAAACACAAAATAAGAGTCTTCGAGAGTAGTGAGGCGGTCGCTTGAAAACGGATTACGCCAACACCTTATGAACTTATTAACAGTGATTCTGCTTTTCCGACGAAAACGCAGAACCACGCAATGACACGTGAATCGCGGAGTTGTACAAAATGCAAATCAGGTAAAGCTAACTTACAAAAATAAAGGGGTGCAGTAGCGTTGCCTTGTGAGTCGGTGGTATTTCCGAGGCCAAGTCACTCTGGGGATACAGCCGGGAGTTCTGGGTTCTGGGAGCCGTGGACACTCCACCTGGCATTCGGTAAAGGTGGAATTCTGCCTGAAGGGGGACTGTGTTGTTTGGAAGTTTCGTGACGTTAAAAAAATACGTGTTCTGATTGTGGGTACCTAAAGGGAGACAGATGGTGAAGTGTGACAACTTGGTGTGTTTCGACTCAAAATGGACGTTGCTTCTACGCATAGTTGGCAGAAGTGTGGGCATTTCTGATGCGTATAAAGGATCTACATGATAGGAGACAAAATAAGTAAAGTTGGCTGCTCATTAAGGCTAAGTTGAATTGCTGTTGGCGTTTGAGTAATGCAAATACGATCCTTCTCGGGCAAGATTTGTGTGATTCGTGGACCTTCACGGCCAGAATTATGATAGGGCAATTTTTAAGACACGTGGGCGTAGATATGATGTTTCGTGCAGAGAATCCATCACTTCGTTTCACCTCCAATAGACATCAGTTCCAGCGAGAGTACATCTCGGAAGTTACGATCCAAATTCCTTTGACACAAGTTTGCCCCGGAACTTCGCCAGAGCAAACCGTTGAGTGCAGCCATCTGTGGTTGTTCAGATAAATAACAGAAGGAAATAATTTTGCTCGAATTTCATTCCAACAGCGTGGCCAGAGTGCCATAAAAGAAAGTCTTCTGATGGCCTCTCTGTCCGCCACAAACACTCGTCGCTAGTGTGACTCTGGATTTCACCAACAATTTGGTGGTAACAAACACGAATTCGTCAAATAGAAAAAGTGACAAACTCTAGGCAATCCAGAATCCACGCGTGAAGGAAATCTATGGTGATGTCGGAGAAGGCAGTGAATAAGAAGCTTTTGGTTGCAAAGTCCGTTCTCACGTCATTGCGCACACCTTTGACCAATCGCATGCTACGTCTCTACCTCTCTATGCTTTCGTCCACGAGATACACACTCGACAGCCTACGCTTAAAGGATTGAATGAAACTGCTATTAAACTCTCTTCATCCGTTAAATAGACCGCCTCTTGGACTGACTGAATTCGCTTCAGCCAAACTTCCCCAAACGAAGGGAAACACCAGTTGACCTCGAAGCTTGCGTCATTGCGTCCTTGAAATCAAGGCGCAAAAGATTATTTCTTAAGTTAGACCCTTTTAGTCCAGGAAAACACAGTTCCTGGGCAATTAACATGGCTAGGGACTTTCAAGCTGTTAGCGCCAGATCTGGGAAAGTGATTCCTGGTCAAATCCATCGAGGCTTGAGGCCGTTACAACTGTTTGTTGTTAAAACATCATTAGCTTGATAGTTGTTCGGATTATTTGTGACTTTTGAGTTTAACATGACCTGCATCCTAGTTACTGATGAGCTAACTGTAGCTCACAAAATCTGCAACCAAGGCCATATTCGAAAAATTGAATAAATAATTAGGAAAACGGAGTGAGAAGTGGTCGGCAAGCATGTGTCTAGTGAGCTCGTTGGCTTTTTTGAGGACAAAACAGGCACAGACGGGGGTTTTGAGGGAAGCGACTGATTTCCAGAGCACCACCGCTCCTGCTTATCAGGCGCCATCTAATGTGCACGCGTCGCTAGAACAACCGGACACACGAGAACAGCGTTTGTTTTCATTACCGCCGCGGGGGTTTAATGTCTTCGCGGTCGACTCATCACCACTCACGAGGCACTAAATCACTAGACAATTAATCAAAAATCAATGGCTTCTAGAGTCCTGTAATGGGGGCTCTCGGGAAGTGGAGTAAGGGGGAAATTCCGTGACGGGAACACCGGTGTGCACGGGTCCACGCACGCTAGAAACTCCCAACCCCCTTGTTTGGGGTTTCCAGTAGGTCACGAAATCAAGGACACGCATGTTGAATTTCAGAATGATGATTGCTAATCAGTTTGATCGACTGGTAGAAATTCGATATTCCGAAGCGGGTGTTTCGCCAAAGAAGATGGTGGCTTTGTTGATGCTTTCGTTACTACCTTACAGGCATCCGGCTTGTCTTCTGCGATGGGATTTCTCTGGATAACTTGTGCACTGGCCACAGCACAGACTTGGAAATTCCTCGTCAATGAGCGTGTAAAAAGTTGTTGCATAGTTGGTTAGGGGGGTGTTAACATGGTGGATAATAAATTGTTTCAGCAAGGGGCATTGAATTAGCGAATACTTCATAAAATTAGTCTCAATGTAAAAATTTCCCACCTCCATAAGCCCACTATTTTTCGCAGATGTGCCTTGGGTGGATAATATATTGTTTGGTTATTGTGAATTTATTGGCGTAAGCGTGGAGTGGAGTGGTATCACGGGAATTATAGAAACTGCACATTTTTAGTAAAGAAGCAATGCAACAGGACTTATTAGGGGTTTCGGTTAAGCCCGGTGGAGCAAAAACATCATTTCGGTGACCAGAACTGCGTCAGAGAACCGGGATGATCTAATTCCTGTTCACCGTTCACTCGTTTGATCGCAAGCCCCTCATTTCTATTGAACACATTGCGACGCATGAACCAGGAGTCGAATTACCGGTCGAGATGACCTGATAGCCTTGTTTCCAAACCCTCTTCTCTACCTTCTGGTGTCGTTTAGGAAGGTAATGGTGGAAAGGTACCTGACCAACCGCTGCGCTACCTCGGATCGTAAATTTGCATTTCTAGCATGCTCCACACTGCCTTCTTCGATTGGTGCCACTGGAAAGGCTGTCATTTGTCGACATGAAAAAAGACCCCATCTCATCGTATTCGCCCACAACCCACTGTCTATACAAGCCTCCTTTCTCAATCGACTCATCGTGACATCTACCAAGTCATCGACGTTTGTGGCACACATAAAATTAGAACAAGTCTTGTTCAAGGTTCGACTACTGACTCAGATAGCGGGTCCAATGATGAGGTTGGTATATCTGTTTTAATAGATATCTTCTCGATATTGAGTAATTACGCATGATGGACAACTGTGCGATCTCCCAGGAATTTAGGTTTCAGTTTTTTATCGGAATTTTGGTCAATAATCGTCAAAATGAATGTCCCTCGACATCTCGTAATTAAATCAATGGTAAAAGTATTAAATTAATGCAGTGTACTGTTAATATGTACTTTTTGCTGGCGTTGCCATGAGCATAATTGAAACTGGTTCAAGAGAATGTCAGAGAACACTTGGGATTTTATGAAATAAATTTAAACCCAACATCTCTCTAGGATAAAAGACAACATTGTAGTGCTCAATTATGAAATCAGGCATTGGCAAATCGCTTTCAGTTACATTGACCAGTCGACGTTGCTCTTGGGTAAAGCTGGTGATTTATTAACCAGTCAAACGTCACCCCATTGGTCACCCAAGGTTCGAACCCGGGTGCTATCAGTTCAAGTTTAGATAAGAGCTTTGAGCCAGTTTTTTCAGCAAAATTCAATTCCAAGACACTCCTTGTCACCCCGATTAACCAACCATTTAAAATCTTGATCTTTTCTTAGCTTATTTACAATAAACTGTATCCAACAGAAACTACTTGGGTTCTTACCAAGAAATATGTCGAATTTGTTTACTTTTGCAAAATAATTGCTCAAACAGCCAGTTTTGTTTATTTCCCGACATTTGCACTATTTTCAGGACGTTTCGGTAAATCAGAATGCAAAAGAATTTTTTAGTTTGTCATAGTGAAGCTCTAGGCCTTCAAAATTGTGTTTTTTGTGCGAATTCAAATTAGTTGACAACGTTAACCATGGCAACGTATTAATTGTTGTGAGTGGTAATCAGCGTTCGTTGGTGGTGAGAACAGAGGTAGCTTCTATCGAAAAATTAGGGTTTTCTTGCATAACATGGCCAATACTTTTGATACCAAGGTCTGACACTTTAAATACACACTTTTTGCCTTCGAGGTAATTGAACAAAACAAAAATGCTGCCCAAAATTTAAATATTAGTCCCGCACTGCAGGGTACCTCCAATAGCTTTTGATGTCTTGAACAAATTAAACCGAACGTTTCCTCAGCATTTAGGTGAATTTAATTTTTTTTTTAAAAAAAAGGACTTCTTTGCTAGCCAAATGCGCACAAATAGATCACGCGTTTCGATTACAAACAGCACGTTTTAGCTAATAGATTTTGCTCTTGAGTTAGACAAAAATAAACTTCTTATCCGTCGAAAAACCCCCAACTCCCAGCCGTTATTTTTACCTGTATTTACGGAAAACGTCCACAAGTTGAATTATAAATGTCGATATTAGAATTTCGTGCAATCGATTTCACCATATGCAACTGTCTATTCTGCTGATTTTTCGATTTTACCAAGGTCGTTTGGTTTCAACATAATGTCACCTACTGTTGACCTCTTCGTCGAGGAAGGCAAGAACAGTGTCGGCATAATAGGGCGAAGGAGCGATGTACCGACCACGCCTGTCCGTCATCGATCGATAGAGGTGCATGAGGAAGTCTGGTGGGGTTCGTGGCCTGCCCCTACTGACCAGCCCCGGGACACCAGGCAGATGAATAAGGAGGAGGAGAAGGAGGTTCAGCAGGGATGCGATGTGGCCTCCAGATGATACCTGATGAAATTTATCATCCGCCAGTTTGCAGAGGGGACATGCAGCATTTGATGGTGCTTGGGGAGCACGAATTCCGCCTTTACCGTTTGTCCGATGGAGACGAGAGAGGCAGCACCCGTCTAGTGACTTCTACCCTCAAAGAACCTAACGTGCACGCACGCACTTGCATGCACGCGGGCTTTGCTCGTCCCTAATTGGTTAAAACATCGGTTTTACCTCACAGAGTGGGTAGCTCTCTGGAAGTTATCCTTTTCCACAATTCATTGGATTTTTATCGAAATCTTGTTAAAGCGCGTCCGTAAAGTGTGCCTAGGACACTGGTTTCGACAATTTTTGGTGATTGGTTAAAATTAATTTGTTTGAAGTGTCAATATTAAAGAGGGAAACGGTAGGGTCAAATTTCCGTTGATTCATGCTATATAAATTTTTAAAAATGGATGAGTATGGGAACTATAACCGAAAGTAAGCAAGATGCTGATTGGTTAGCCATTTTTGATCGATTTTAAGTTAGTGGATTCAGTCTAAACGAGACTCTAGACTACCTTTCGACATTGATTTTGACTCCTTGGTTTATTTATCATGAATCCAAGCATAGCCAATGAATGGGTGACTAAGAGACAGGATGTTGGCGATTCGACTGAATTTCAGCATTCAAGGCAACTTGGATCTACCAGGTTCTGTCAGAATCGAGCAAACTGAGGCGTGCTTCCACAGCCAAATCAATTTTCACCGGTCAACCAAACGAACCCTTTATAAATCAACTCGTAACCGGTGATGAAAAGTGATTCGTGAATAACGAAATACGAAGAAGCTGGAAGCACCGAAATGAGAGAGCAGAGTCTGCGGAATGACATCGCAGAGGAATAACTTCTTCGGTCTTCTTCCACATGACAAGAAAATCAAACAAGGGCAGTGCGCTAGACCTCGTTCCTGTCAACAGGCACTGCAAAAACATGGAGGATTTAAGGATGAATTCCTGTTGCACCTTCATTGGTTTTGTTTCGGCAAAAACTTAAGTAACAGCGACTTGTCGAGTAGATTGAAGAACTCACAGGCTACTTAAGGGAAACCATGCGGGTCCTACACAGAACGCCCTCAAAAAGGATGGACACTCCATCGTCACCTCTCATTCAATGCCATTTTTCGTGGAAATGCGCTGTATATGGTTTGCTTTTATATTTCACACTAATCTCTGCAATCGGCAAATACTTTGAACGTCTCTCAAGTGTCCTTGTCAACTAGCTCCCCGTAACCCATTTTCGCGGTGTTAATTAATGCAGATTTATCTCAACCGGGCTGATGTAAAACGTTTTTAGCATCCGAATCTAAATTTGGGCATTACACCAGACATGCACTTCCGTCGTTCTGTTTCCGCAGCAATAAATGTTGTTTCCGCCGGGGGTATTTATCCATATAACGCAAACGTCGATCCACAGAAACTCCTGAATGGTATAAATCAACTGTGCCGTGCTTATCATGGTTATTGTTTTAACCAAAACCGGAGCTTTGTTTAGCTAATTCAAGGTTTTTCCCAACAAATTTAATTAAATGCCTGCTTTGACAGAGCCAGAGCATAAATTTCGTGTTCTAGTTGGTCAGACATGCCGGTTCTCATACGGCACCATTGCACTTAAGGTCCAGCGAGCAATTATATTCACCCGGGCTAAGACAACGCCTTTTGATCTCCGCTTAACCCTTTGAGTTAAGTGGTGGCCGACAAACTGCTAAGGCGCGTCTTTAATTCGATTAGTTCATTGGGGTGTCCTGTGGATGCTTCTTTGGAATTAGCACGGGTGAAACGAATTGCTATAACACTGGATTTCGTCGCAGGCACAAAACGTGAACAAGTCCAGTGAAATTTTCGTGTTGCGCTAGACGATTAGATCACAATATGAGCTTCCTCTGGTTCGAGTAGAGATCCATTGCAAAACGCTGCGTACCCCGTTTATTAAAAACACCCGAGTTACAGGCGCTGCGTAACTTGGAGGCTGTCAGAGCAGTGGTTTTTGGTTTAAGAAAATGACTCCTACTGAATTCCAAAGAATGAAGTCCACCAAAAAGTATCAAAGGCTCGTAGGAAGCCCTGGTGTAATTGGCAGGCCGACGACATTCATTGACACGACCCGACCGCGGAAAGTGTGTTATCGTCACAGGGCATCGGTTTAAATGCAAACGCTTGACAATCGGAGACACCTTTGTTGGGGTGATTCTCGACCCCACAATCTCTTTTCCTCTGCCCAGACCTTGCAGAACAAAAGGTTCTGCAAGGGGGTGTGTGTGTGGCGTCATAGCTGATCTGAAGAACTGCACTCAGAATCGCAGAAACCAAGTAATTGCAAGAAAACGAAGGAGCAGTGGTCTTTCCCTTTTTTTCAACGACAACGTCGGCGTGGTTCTCAAACCGACGACCTCCTTAGATACGGAAAACTGACTGAATCCGTGCTTGCTCACGCTTGCCAGCGACTTTCGCTTGCTGATCGCCACACCCTCAAAAGGGGGATGGTGGTGCTTACTTACCGCTTCCGTTGGGCCATAATTAAAAGACTGGTAAAATATAACACGTAGCAAGTCTTGTGCTGTTTCTACGAAAGACAATAGTACAATGTGCGTGTCTTTTTCTCGCATTTTGACAGCAGATACGCCAATAGCCCCCACGGTTCCGCATTTACTTGATGCTTTTTTACGCACTGCTGGATTCTTTCTGTGTTCATTGATAACCTCGCCGTGGTTTTGACCATGTTAAACATCTGTTTTGTCTAATTGCATGCTCGTTTAGGGCGTTTACATAGGGATACACTAATTGGTGTTGTGGACACGCCTGCCAAATGAAAAAAAAAGGCAGTCGCTCAATCCTCTTTGAATGCATCCACGTGATACTTGCTAGCGTTCATTTGCAAGCAGTCACTCGCCTTAATGCCATTCTATGCAGTATTTCCCAAAAGACTTTACCTTCAAAAAACAGCTTCTGAAACTTGGTGGGTTAGAATGAACGATTAATGGAAAAATCGCTGCCTTTGCTAATCAACAACCCGGCAAACATTTGACAGCCTGGAGTGCAATTTACGTCGGAAGTAGACTAGAAACAACTAACGCGTATTTCGATAGGTTAGAGGTAAGAAAACCTGGGATTTAATGTGTGTGAATGTTTGTTTGGCCTTATTGAAAGGATACTATGCTCCTTTTGAGGCAAAGAACTCGTTCGATCAGACCCCCACGCAGGCCTGTTCGACATCCAGTCAAAAGTGGTGAAGTTCGGAACGTGGGTGCCGCGACTGGTGGAAAGTATTAAGGAGAAATTTCCCCGTCACGTGATTGAACCGCTTCGATCACCTGTGCACTAATTTGTAATTGCGCTCTTTACCATTGACATTAGCCGATTTCCCATTGTGGCTATCAACTGAGCTGGCACACTCTTACGCCCTGCGGTAATTAAACAAACGCGCTCTTTCTGATGTTGCTAGTTGCAATCCACCGACCTTTTGCCGACATCAAATATGCCAGATGTTCCTCTCTCTAGTCTGATTGCCTAAAATTGAAGCATTTGCGAAATGTTAGTGTTGACGTCGGTGAAAACAAAAGCTTAACTCTTGACTTCCCCTGACCAGTTAAAACAAAGCACAAATTGGCTTGCAGTCAAAGGTTTATACGATACTAGGGCAGTTTGTGATCAGGTGTTTAAAAAACACATCAATTCACAACAGGCGGACACATCTAAATACGGGATTGTTGGTGGAACACATCCAAGCATTTCTGCGCCAACACGACATCACTACGAAACTAGTGGATTCCAATGCTCCCTCAGCGAGTTGTTCACAGCGACACTGCGTCAGTGGAGTTGCTATTGACATTTTACTTTTCTTGGCGTCAAATTGTCTTCAAATCTCTGTAGTCCAAAAGGTAGCGGATTTTTCTGTGAATGTACAGTCACGTTTGATTCAAATATTTGCGAAAAGGTGGGGGAATGTTATTACAGCTGTCGGGTGAAGTGCTTAATAAGTAGGTTGAAACCATTAGCATTGCATTTTTCCACCTATTTCAAAAAAATACTTCCATGTTTTGTGATTACTCACTTTGAGCAGTATGATTGAGTAGCTCGATAAAAACAAGCCAACCCAAAGCCATTGGTTTAGAGCCTTTCAGTCAGCCAATGGTTGAGCGCCTTCACTGATTGGTCCACAATGGCGATGCTCTACAGTAGTGACTCGAAGGCATTCAACTATTGGCGGTAACAACGTCTAAATAATTTTACCTAATGGCGATCTAACCAATGAAATTCTCGGAATTTTTACCCTATTTGGAAAGTATTTTGAATCAACATAACGTCCTTCTCACAGTTGACATGTATTTCTTTGCAGACCGCAAATTTAATTAATCCTTGAGGTAATGCGATTGGTACAAAAATGAGATTTTTATTATAAATGCAGAGAGGCAATCATATTGAGTGAATGGTGAGCAGTTGAAGCAGTAAACTATTAAAATTTCAATGAACACCGTAGTCAACTTTGCAGTGTAAAAGCGGTCTTGAATAAGAACGGTCCCAATCTGTAAGGAGAAATTGTGTTACCCTTCATCACGGTAATGTTGGGCCTAACACACCTCCTAGAAGGTGGTTGGCTGAAAGATGCTACCGCACCCTTCATATTCCTCCAACCATACTCCTTCTGAGGAACACAGAATCATTTGGTGGGTGTCATTCAAAGCCAAAAAATTTACGACCGACATACTTGTACACTAATTGACAATTAGACACAACAAATCAGTCGGTCGCCACCATTGTGCAACGCGCCTAACGAGCGAGGACTTAAATAGGTAGCTAACTGGTAGCCCGCGCCTCTTAGATAGCCGCGACATCGTGGTTAGCTACCAGGCACACGATAGAAGAATAACAGGAAGAGTCGGATGTAGTCCAGACTGCCGCATACAAATTCGGAGGGCCAGGGTTTTGGGAGGGTTAGAGCCGGAGGAGGAGGGTCGGCCTTGCCCTCAGGCTCACGGGCGTGCCTTGAGAAAGGCGAGGTTGCGGGAGGGGGGGAGAGGAGGGTAAAGAACAGGCCACACCGGCGTGCGTGGATCGAATGGCGCGGGCTACAATTGGGGACCGTGACTAGTGCTCCGACAAAATGAGTATAGTAAAACAAACGCCCCAGCGGAAACAACAACACGTGTTAC